TCATAGTACTCAATAAACTGTTTCGTACAGTGTGATCCATAACCGTCTAGAAGTAGGAGTCGATAGGTACCAGCTTGCCACTTTGAGGAGAACTAGTGAAAGTGAGCTAGCCACTCCATACATAATCCATTATTACTGTAGCCTATCTCTGAAGTGCCTACCATGTGATTATTTGGTATTGATGTAGTTGTGTACCAAGACTCTTGATGAATTATACCTGGTACAATAATTAATGGAGGTAAAACATGACCATCTCCACTAATTGTCTCACATATAGAAACAAGTTCTCAATTCGTTGAGCTGCCTAGGTAGGCCTGATGGTTGGGATCTCATGTAATGATCCACTGGTCTCTTCCAATCCCAATCCTAAATCCAGTTTCATCAAAGTTGTATATATCACAGTCCTGAATGTTGTACCTCTGACGAACATTCCAGTATTTCTCCAGCTAGATACAAATATCTTCTGGTTGATGAGCATGCTTACAATCAATATCAATTGTTCGTTGCTTGCAAATGAAGTATTCCGGGTGTCGAATAAGAAATCTTGGTGCCCAGTGGTCACTAACAATAGGTAGTGCTAGAGGACCTATATGTGCATTCTTAAAAATACTGTTTGCACAACTAGTAACTATTTGTATACAAGCACTTGTTCCGATAGTATCTAGTCGATCAAGATATTGGCAAACAGTGATTTCTTGGTCATCCGAAAGTTTTTGATTTGTTGGTGCACGATCTTTACGGGAGGGAAGGCCTTGCCAGCGACGGCAGAGTCAAGATGCTGGAACATCAAAGGTCCGAGCAACTTCGGCAATGTTTGAATATTTCTCTTGTGCTTCATGAAGTGAGTCAAGAGCAGCTTGGATCCGAACTTCAATGTCGTCATATGGCTCAACCCTTTGGCTGGGAAGAACAAAGGCTGGTTTTGGAGGCATGATGGTTGGTAGTTTGAGGTGATAGTATTGATGAAAATATGGTGTAGCTATTATATATTGAAGCATTATAATTATACTATATCACAAAATTATGTTAAGCCACCAAGTTACATTAAGCCACAAAGTTACGCTGAGCCACAAAGTTATATTGAGCCACAAAGTTACGCTGAGCTACAAAGTTACGTTGAGCCACAAAGTTACGTTGAGCTGTCAGGCACTCAGCAGGAGTGCCCAGGTTGCAAGCCAGTAAGCAACAAGGGGTTGTGATACTTAGTCACAATCTTGGCATGAGCAGTTGGCCTGCAGGGTTGCTTTTCTCATGTTTCTAGTCCGGCTAGGCTTAGGGCACTAGCTAGGATAGGATTTATGTTACTTGGCTTTATGTTAGTCATCGTTAACAATGCGGGAAAAGTTGTTTTTTGCCAGATTGGAGGAATGTGAGCTGTGTGTGATGATATTTCTTTTGTTATTACATTGGAATTAAGGCTTTTTGTATGCGATAATGTAAGCTGCATGTACATTTTTGAGCCAGAATCAATAAACACATAATAAATATAAAAATAAAAAAAAACATCAATAGTTACTTATATGGGAAAATTTTTATGGTAGGTTAGAGGTTCTGGACTTTTGTCCTATATTGGTACTATGCAGATCACAGCTTGGTGGAAAATCAGATTATATAGTATAGGAACTCTATAGTTGGGGTAGGTAGACATTCATTCTAACTAACTTGAAGTAATAGTAAATCAAGATTCTAAGAATTCCCTTAATGTAGTTTAATATCTTGGTAAAATTCTATTAACTGTATTCTAAATAGATATTAATAGAAATTAACATGCCCAAAAATACCTAGGACATTCCAATTTTCTTATCTAAAATCTGCCTCCTTTTAAGCTTCAATAACTTTATGAAAACAAAAAATAATTTGATTTTCTCTCTATTAGTTTGAAGCCAACAAGCTACTCTATCACCTAATAGAGTTATTTTTTTGACTGGAATTGCTGTTGCAAGTCTTTAGGTTTTGACTTTGGCCTCCAAATACCTTACTTTAGTGCTTCGGGTACAGAGTTTCCACACCATAAGAGATAATACAGAACGACCATTCCGTTCTGTTCCCCCATACAAACGACCATTATCTTCCGTTCTGAAGACACAAAGGCAACCACTTCCCTGTTAAAATCGTCGCTGGACGGAACGGTCAACCTGCCTACCGTTCCCGCCAAACATGCCCTTATCCTCTCCCACTTTCGTGTCCTTTTCTCATCTCCTTTCCTTTCCTATCGAACTTCTATTTTCTCCACTCATAATGTGTTTGAATCTCCTTTCCCAAGTTCATTATCTTTATCTAACCAATTATCTTCTACCAGAAGCCTTTACTCCGAATCTACAAGTAGTGTTAGCCAAGCACCCTTTCTTTTCATTCCGGATACAGTTGTGGGGCTCAAAGTAAGAGGCTACTGTTACTATGCTGCCCCCATACTGGCTATTCCTTACTAACTTTGTAGCATTCTTTTAGATGGTCTTAGGACTTGTTTATGGCAAGGCTGATGACCATACAGATCCAAGCAATGAGCTGGCAATCATTAAGCGGTATTTAACATGAGCAATTTCAGATGTCATTCCATTCCGAGTTAGGTCCTACAGCTGCCCTGAGACCGCATATACTAATCCAGCTGGAAGTTTACTTCAGTGTTCCCAAGCGTCCAGTCCGTCCGTCCTTGGCTTCGGACGGGACGGACACCGGTTTCTGGAACTCTGCCCTTGACGGACGCCCGTCCTGTGGTCCGTCCTAACCACTACCCGGGACGGCCGGCCGGGTCCTATAGGTGTCTCACCTACAAATGGCCCTGCAGATGAGAGCCGGGAGATGCCATTTGTATTAAGACTCCCGGGCCCGGGCGTCAACTCCTCGGACGGCGGTCTTTATCAAAGACGGACGCTATGCCCTGCCGTCCTTGCCCACCCTGCCCGGGACGCCCGGGACTACAAGCCCGCCAGGGCCCTGTAGGGCGCCCGGGACGGTTGGGAACACTGGTTTACTTCTTAAGTCTTTTTAAGAGATGGAAGCATGGATACAAGGACTGGAAGCAGAAACACATAGCCTGTGGGGGGAAGTGAGAGTCCTTCATCCTCTAAAGGGTAGCGCCATCTCTATCAGGGAACGATTTTTTGAGCCCTGATAGTTTTAGCAGAGCTAGGGGTCCAATAGAATGGGGAACCGTCTGCCAATTCCAGTCGGAAATCAGGTAGCTCATGAGGATGACATTGTCACTGATGTTTGCCTGCTTCAAAATGGCTTACTACGCTACCATGATACTTTCAAAACACTGTATGGTTTGGACTGGAGGGAGGCTAAGGTCCTTACGGGTAGGTTGATTGATTTCAATCAGTCCTGCATGGTTAGTTCTATTTCTGACTAAAAGCACTAATAGAGTTTCCACATATGATTACGATCATAAACCGGCGAGCAACAACCCTTGTTAGGAGGGGTGAGGGCAGTGTTCCCAACCATCCCGGGCGGGCTTGTAGTCCTGGGCGTCCCGGGCAGGGTGGGCAAGGACGGCAGGGCATAGCGTCCGTCTTTGATAAAGACCGCCGTCCGAGGAGTTGATGCCCGGGCCCGGGAGTCTTAATACAAATGGCATCTTCCGGCTGTCCTCACCAGGGCTAGGCCATCATTCGCAGAGCCCAACCGTCATTCGCAGAGCCTAACCGTCATTCGCAGGGCCCGGCCGTCATCTGCGGGACTCGGCTGCCGTCTGTAGGGCCTGGCTGTCATCTATAGGGCCCAGCCGTCATTCGCAGGGCCCGGGTCTCATCTGCAGGGCCATTTGTAGGTGAGGCACCTATAGGACCCGGTCGGCTGTCCCAGGTAGCGGTTAGGACGGACAACAGGATGGGCGTCCGTCCAGGGCAGAGTTCCAGAAACCGGTGTCCGTCCCGCCCGAAGCCAAGGACGGACGGGCTGGACGCTTGGGAACACTGGGTGGGGGGTGGACCAAGGAGGTGGAATTTGTGGCATCAACAGAGTGGACACAACAGGCGACTCGTGAGGAGCTGGAACAGTTCACTGCGGATTCTGTTGGGGTGATGCACTACAAATGCTCGTTCTCCAGAGTTATCAACCAGAATTGAGAAGGGCTTTAGAATTTGTGCTGGCAGGGATGGGGGGCTTAACTGGTTATGGGGGAATTAGTTGGTTTTGCCGCTTGCGGGGTTGGTGGATGCTGTGTCCTCCCGTGGGAGGACCTCTGTTTTGTTGGTGCTTGTATCATGATTACAAATATTGTATCAACAAGAGGAATAGCAAGCTTTAATGTCTCTATTACACCCAATCTTAATAAGCCTATGGTTCATTTTTGGCCTCACAGCATACACGAGACCTTCACCCAATTCCTCCCGAAGACACACTAAGACTAATGCCCACTTTCTCATCCCAACCGAACTCAGGAAGCATGTGCACGAGAGTAAAGTCATTTGGTTGTGACACCAGGCTACTGTCCAACAACTTGAAAATAGTGAGTTTCTGTGGGTATCGCATATCCGTCTGTTTGCCGTCCACACTTGCATCCCATTGATAGATGAAGTTGAATAATATTTGATTCGATTCCGGACTCTGTTCAATGGCACCAAGGAGGCTGTTTTTGCGTGTCTGTTGCCCTAATAAAGCACCCATGGTTGATACTAGCTTCAGTGCTATAGAAAACTTCTCCAAAACGCTTAGAGCAGCCAAAGTTACGTCTTGATAGGCACTTCCGACATATAAGCCAAGGCAGACTACAATATCCAAGTGATGTAGGATTGCTTCTTCGATAGAAGGAAACTCAGTCAAGATGGTATTCATCTTTCCCATCCCACTTTCATCCCGCTTGACTAGTGGACGAACGACTTCGAAATAGGTTGATTGCATCCTCATAGCAAGATCGAGGATGTTGATTGTCATCAAAATAGTTCGAAAAAAAATTAGCATGGGCGCACCCGCAGAGGCTAATTGCGCCCACCCCCCGATGCAGAATCCACTCCAATTTTTATAATCTCCTAAAGCACGTTGAAAAATTTCTCCGTCAGAAGATGCTCCATGGCTTGTGCGAATGGGTGTGGCTCAGCGTATATTTCCAAAGGGGATGCCTCAACAGCACCACGAACAGCAACATTAGAATCAGCGATGTCCAACAAATCCTCGTTAAAGCGTATGAGGCAAGTTTCAATGAATTGGGGGCATCTAGATTGCGGGGCTGGTCCGAAGGTCCTGTATTGAGTGCGGTTAAGTCTCTGTCCGGTCATCAATTTTCTCTGGAACAAGGGGAAGATCTGGGAGGTTCTAGAGACTCGTGATAGTGAAGACGGTTCCGACAATGAAGTCGATATACGGGTCAATCCCGAAAAGGCGTGTAGAGCTACTAAGGTTCTCCGAGAATAAGAGGGAATACTTATGGAGGAAATCCTCCACTAGTGGGGAGACTATTGTTGTCATCAGTCGGGAAAATCTCTAAGCTGGATGTACTGCTGTCACGACGGCATCTAGTTTCTCCGAATCTCCGGCTTGGGCGAATGGCTTCCCCGACATAGGACCGAGTTTTAGGGCGTTTGATGGTGGAGCAGGTGTACCGAGTGTGTAGTTATCGATGGCAATCCACACTTGAGGATTCAGATTCCTAATCTTAGTTAGAAATGCGGTGATGGCCGAGAACAAAGTCCCACAATTGAACCAAAGCCTGTAGAGCCAAGAGATCGAACAGCGCGACTACGGTCCGAAAATTAGGGCTCTCATGAAGTAGCCAATGTGGAGAAGCTAGCAATTCTTGAGCAACCTGAGATATCAATCTCAGGTACTTACCCAACATCATACTTGACTCTAGCAGCGATTCCGCGACAGCCCCGGTAGGTAAGGTAGGAGTTCTGTAAGAATTGGCATGCACCAAAGCTTTATGCTGTGTTCTAAGCTGCTCGATGTAATTCTGGAATTCCTTAAAGAGTTTCTCCCGGGAGAGGTGTCAGGTCCTCCGGTTCTTCTCAGAACCAGGAGTGATCTCATCCTGGAGGAAGCGATGAGTGTGTTCGGCAGCGGCCGCCCCTAGAGCGAGTGATGCCAACATATAACTGGATATAGAAACCATGTGTAGCATATGGCTAGTTGAAGCTCAGACAATGAACTCATGTAAATTACTCTCTGGGTCAGCCCAGAACGCCATTCCGGCATTCCATCGCCCAAGATATGTATAATGTATCATGTAAAACCGCTCCAAGTCGCCCACATGTCCTCAGCGTCAATAACACATCTTCCTCCTCTTGCGTCTTCATCTACCTCAGCAAGTCTACCATATTTGAGATGAAGCATTCGATGAAGATTTCGAACTGACTGATCACGAGGGACTTGAATAATACCGAGAGAGAGTCATTTGTTGTCTTCTAGTGGCGCCACTCACGTTTGTAAGGACTTGTGAAGATGCCCCTTTGCGGAATTAAGATACCATTCTGCGCTGACATCTGCAGATACCGGGTGTTCCATTCGGGGAACAACCGCCAGCTGAAAAAATTCAAATCGTCTTTTACAGCGTCCATAAGGTCGAGGTCCTCTTTACCAAGCAGGCTATTCCAGCCCAAGGAGGAGTGGCGGAACAGGTGGAATGCACTAAGATATACGGTTCCGTCAGGGGTCGGGAATGGCAGCAGTGGTCTGAGCAGGTGTCCGGTGATACGAGGTGGATGCGGGGACTGTGAGGGCAAGCCTGGAAAAAAGGAAAGGTTGTACTAGAGGGTTTGCGCAGTCAGAACTAGGTTGGAGTTATTAATCATGTTGCTATAATTCGCCCCTCGCATCCAGAGTCCATGAAACCCCCAGCGGATGTCGTTTCTTCTGAAACCTGGTGCTTTCAAGTGATAGTGCCCAAGCTAGTTCCCAAATATCTTGTGATCACTCTTAGTAAAATTACGCCAAAGGAGCAAAGCCACAGAACGACACCCTAATAAAGGTATAAAATCTTGGGGTTGACGTTGTTGGCATTTAAGGCCCTCAATTCCAGGTCGGATTTCACAGTTTCTACACCTTGACCAGGTGGAATCAAAGAACTAGGTGGCTAAGCCTTGCGATTAACTAATTTCAACCCTGCCTAAGTCTGTCTGCACGAACTCTCACATGAACCACAGGGCTCGGATATGTATTACTAGATTGCTTTCGAACTAAGTCAGCTATCTCCCACGGGGAATAGTGATAGTCCCAGTAAAGACAAGTGGCTCACCAGTCTGGAAAGTGAAATTTGGGTCCTATTGTCCGTCAGCATGAGTGTGGTGGAACCTGTGCTCACCCGCAACTAGCGATTGCGATTTGTGGGTTGACGTGGGGCATGTACAGTGCAAGACGTGCCTGGTCAGGAAAGGTTGTAAGGCGGATATAGGCAAGCACCCGCGGGCTGGCGGCTCGTCTGCAGCTAAAATTCATGACAAGATCATTGCCTACGGCGAGAATATAAGTAAAGTAAAGATCTATGGAGACGCTAGGCCACAGGTTGCTTCTGATAGTGAAATAAAGTATGATGCGGCTAGTAACGTTGGCAGTATGTATGCAAAAATCCTGGGCGGCGGCGACGCCCGGAGATGGGGGGATCTCTCTGGCCATAATGATCTGCTAACCAGAGCTCGAGCAATAAAATTTGCACGGCCACCACCAGATGAAGATAAGAGTCCTGTTGAACAACTAAGGGCCCCGATTGTTTTGGAGATTCCAAACCTAGGAGATAGCTTAGAGCTGGATACGAGCATGCCTGTGTAGATTATGGGGGGTATGCTCGAGCATGGTCTACTCTAGCGGGCTCCATGCTCGACCGTGATCGAGTCTAGTCGATTATGATCGGCTTTTCTCTAAAGAAGCAACTCAACAAGGCAGCAGCGGGCTGGCGACCACCGTGGGACAAGAAAGGTGGATATGACAAGGAAGGTGGGAAAGTTGTGCAATGGAGAGAAATGGAGATGCTGTCTAAGGACCAACTGGGAGATATATATCTCCCTAAAACCAGTAACTTTGGAAACTAAAGGAAATTCCACGAACTTTGAAGAAACGCACCATTTTGACAAATCATAATCCTCTTCGATCTCAAACAATTCAGAACAATCCTGACATCTTGTGATCACCCCTGATCCCTAAACCTATGCCATAGGCTTAACAGCATATGGTGTGAAAAAAATGCGGCACAACCAGGTACCCGATATCCCATACCACACACAACAAACTACATGACCCATCACCGCATATGAACATAACCGCATGCCCTATAGGCAATCCAACATTTTCCACCAGAGCTGCTCTCGTATGATGTCAAAATGTGAACAGCTTTGTTCTACCAGATTTCCAACTATCATACCAATACATCAGCTAACCAAGTCACCTTTACGAAATACAATTACAGCAAGACCTGCCAGCTAGAGACATTGGTGCAATTGCGTTCGCTTGGAGGGTCGGATACCGGTCACCTCCCACTTGCGATGATGATGGAAGCGAAGCCGGTTTTTTCAAACGTGAATTTCGAAGGGAATGGAGAGTCTCGTTGAGTATATGTTGTCAAGTACTTTTACACTAACATGGCTGCCCAGATGTACATATATAGATAGAGTGATAGATCATGATCACTCATACTCCAGCATGATCTTTTCTAGGGACTCCTATAATCGAGATGTTCCAGCAGATCATAGAAAAAGATGAGTTACCGGACCCTTGGGTAATTGGAAAAGTGTATAGAGACCATTGTCAAGGGGGAGGAGACTAAAATTGGCATTAGGCTATGCTATAGAGGGAAGAAATAGAAGAAAACCATCAAAGCATATAGGAGATCAAACCTAATTGGTTTTGCTACTTAGCTAGTCGGTATTCAGGTGATCTTCACCCCCCTCTGAAAGTGGTATATTCTTGCCAGTCACCCTATTGGCAACGGTCTCTATATGCAGAGCAGTTACAGTACTCGAGTATGGTATACAGTCTTGTAATTCACTATCCCTGTTATCTCTACCAGGTGACAGATATCCCTGTAAATAGCGACATCAGCTCACGAGAGGTTTAGCCTAACGTAAATCACCGGAATACCGTATTATTTGGTTTAACTTGAAATGAGTCTAAGGTAAAGGAGGAAAATGAAGCGAGGTTCCACAAGTTAGCCGAAGCCACAACTCCGGATTACTCACCATTACTTCAACCTCAACTGATTCATGGGGGGTGATTCAGTGAAGAAACCCCCATGAAAAAATAAAAAATAAAGAGAATGACTTGCGGCCAGTCATGAGCAAAGTGGAATGACTTCTAAGAGATAATTGACCAGAGTCAGGTTCAACTAATGAATCATTAAATTCTGCCAGTGCTAGTTAAGGGAGAATTTAAGGACACGTTAGCAGAACCTTTGTACGAGAAAGCTGGCAGTAGAAGCGAAATTGACTTGAGTAAAATGGATCTTCAATCTCTTCTAAATCTACTACCACAACAGATATCCGAACCTTCACTGATTGCGAGTCCCATAGAGAGAAATGAGATAGTACGGGTCCCTTTAGCACAACTCTCTCAAGACTCGGAGCTGGTAGCTTGTCCTTCGGTCCTACGACAATTGAGAGTCCTTCCTGCAATTCCCCCAAAGCCTGGATGAATAGCGAAGCCGATTCTGGAATGGACAGAAAGAAACTTTGCGGGAGTTCGAAAGCGCATACAGCGCTCATACTCTCGGGAGTTTAAAATAGAGGTGCTCCGGTGGTGGCTTCAACACCGGATACCCCAGGGGGAAGAGGAGAGAGAGCCGGGGGTCTTGCGAGCACCATTGCTGAAGGAGGTATCAGAGCGATATCTGGTACCAATGACTACACTTCATAACTGGAGAGTTAGTCAGGAGCAGATAGTTAATACAAGGAAGGGGAAGAGGAGGAACAGATCTGGTGTGAAGTCTTGTCGTTGGCCAGAACTAGAGTCAAATCTCTATGACAAGTATCGGCAGAGAAGAGATGAGCGTAAGGCTGTGCGTAGGGGCTGGCTTCGCAGGGAGGCATACAAAACATTTGCCGACTGTTATCCGGAAAAAGACCCTTCAGAATTTCCTATCTCCAACGGCTGGCTGGCTGGCTTCCTATCAAGACATTTAATAACTCTCCGATTCACAACGAATAAATCGCAGCGAATCCTGGAGGACTACCTACAGAGTATTCTTTCCTGGTTGCGGTTTAACTGAAGAAATTCGCAACTTCGAGCTGGAACCAGAGATGAGGAAAAGGTGGTAGGAAGGTACTTACTTGATAGCATTTGCAATATCAATGAAACCCCCCTCCCATTCGAATATCTGGATGGTCAGACATACGCAGATAAGGGTAGCCGCTCTGTCCAGGTTAAAGCCAGCAATAGTAGCTGGGACAAGAAGCAGGCTACCCTGTTATTAGCTGTCTTTGGGAGCGGAAAGGTAAGACTCCGGCCCTTGTTAATCTTCAAGAGTAAGGAGAAATATGAGGGGCGGCGAGGGGTATATTTTCAAAAAAAGCGAGAGGAGGAGATGAAGCAATATGACTCCCGGGTGGAGGTTAAGTGGAATGAATCTGCCTATGCCAACGCAGGCCTACTAGTAGATTGGATTGAGAAATCCCTAGTCCCTGTCCTCCCGGCTGGCCCACGATTGCTCGCATTAGATGTGGCCAAATTCCACTCTACCGATCAGGTTTTAACAACCTTACGAGCCCACGATATCCTTCCATCAATGATCCCCCCTGGCTGCACAGGACTAGTGCAGCCACTCGATGTGTCGGTCAACAAACCCTTCGAAAGTATTTTGCGCGATATTTTGGACAACCTACTCGATGACTACGAAGCTCAACACCAGCTTGATTTGCGCGAACTTCACCGCCTAGATACGTCTGCAATTGGTGAGCGGAGGATACTTGTTACCCATGCAGTTGGCCAGGCCTGGGAACAGTTTACCAGCAGCCAAGCCTATAAGGAGTTGGTCATAGCTACATTTCGCAAACTAGGACTTACGCTTCCTATTGACAGCTCTTGTGATGATGAGCTGTCAATCAAGGGGATAGATTCTTCACTTATACAGATTGGTGACTGGAGGGAAGGGGGATATGATGGGGAGAATGAGGAAGTTCCAGCTTTAGATTCTGGGTTGGCTGGGCCGGTGGATGAGCCCTCTGATGTAGCAGTAGAATATGTTGACCGAGATTGAAAAGAGAATGTTCAGGTACAGCAAACTACCTACTAATTTCACCTTCAATAAGGCATGGCAAGTGGTCAATATCAAGTAGGAAAGCTTGAGCTCTAACCCTTTAGAGAAATCACCAAAACATTCCCTTACACCGGCTGCCTACGCCATCATAGCTTATCACTCGCCTCAGACTTGATATTCGCTTAATTCGCCACCCCCTCTTTTTGTGACTCATGTCGATCACGTGGCCTTAGCGCCATTTCCAGTTAAACCAGGTAATACGGTATGACACAGTACCGGGATGTGACACACATTGCAAGGGTAGTCAAAAAAGACAACAACTAAACCAATTCTTAACCAAATTTGACCAAACAAGATGATTTCAATTGAGAAGGGATAGGAGAGCTAGTTCAAGCCTAAAAAGTAAAAAATAAAAAATAAAAATATTAAATAGAAGAATCTGAAAATGAAAAAAAAAGATAAAATCTACTAAAAATTATAGAGAAAAAAAAAAGAAAAATTAAGGCATAGGAGTATGTAAGACAATATGAAAAGTAAATAGAGGTAATCTCCTATTAACTGAAATAATATTAGAAATGATAGTTAGCACTAGCAGCTGCTGAAATTTATCAAGTAAAGAAATAGTTACAAAGTCAGTTAATTAAACTTGTACCTAGACCCAGTAACCATTATAGAATAGAACAGAATCCCTGGTAGGTGATGGGGTGAGGTCAGCCTCCAAAAATGCTCTACTCCAGGCTCACGAGTAGACCTGGATGGAAAACAGAACCAGGAGCCCATGTTTCTCAGAACCCTGGAGACTTATAACAAACTCTACCTAGATCCTATTTAGCTTCCATAAACAAAGACCATATAGAGACCTTTTTATATCTAGTAAGAGATAACAAACTAACTACTTAGATTGTCTAGTCTAAAGACTAGAATATTATCTTATTATCATGCAGTCTAAGCTCTGTGCAGTAAGATACATTAATAAGTCTTTTAATAGAGCTAATTACTCCACTTATGATAAGAGTAGAGTAGTTCAAGTTGGTTTTTAGGGTCTAAGACTTAGAACTTTATACATTTAAAGACATAGAACAGTTATTATGCTAGTAGGTATATAGTTAGTAAGGAATTGGATACAGTCCATAACCACTCAGATGCAGAATATAAATATTAAGATACCTCTTATACTTTAAAATATTATCAGCAAATTGAAAAGAGATCTTATCAATATATTTATTTTACTTTAACTTCTATCTTAAAAAAGTCTTTCTAACTTACTCCAAAGTAGAAATGCTGAATCTATATAAAGTATGAATGTGAAACTTAAAGCCTACTACTAAATAGAAAAATCTAAATATAACCTATTCATTATTCAAGTTAACAGTAAAAATAAAAGTATAATAAAAGATTTTTCTATTCAGAAAACACTAATAATCAAAATAGCAGAGGCTAATCTTCATAGCAAGAAGAGTAAAGTAGTATTACTAATTAAAAAAACTTAAAAGCTACTTGCTTATCAACTTACTAACTATTCCAAAAAATGGTAACTTGGAAACTATGGTCTAACATAAGTATAGCAAACAGTAGTAGGAATATTTTAATTTATAATTTTAGTTTTGCTTACTTTTTTAGTTAAAGTATTCTAACTAGTTAGTCATTTCTATTAAATAATATATACTTTATTATATAAGGCTGTATAAGTTAAAACCTGATTATTGTGCTTTTTTAAAAAGTGCAAGAAAATGTCTTGTATATTTACCAAATTTTCAGTTTTTTGGACATAAGTAGTTAAGCAAAAATAACTGTTTTGTAGTTGAGGCCCGATAATCAGGTTTTAACTTATACAGGCTCATATTATCTTAGACTTTATCTATTCTCAAAGTGCTACTATTACTATGAAACTAATACATCCTCCATCTCCATTACAACTACAGTCATTGAAAAATATTTCCTATTTGGGAACGACTCAACACTAGAGAATTATCACCACTTCTTCAGTCATGCACCCCCCCTACTAGAAGGGTGTAGGCCTCCAGCTTCTCAACTCTGGGCTCCTCTTTGCCCTCCCCATGCCTTCTCACTCTCCCAGCAGAGATTAATCCTCCTGAACTATCCTCCTTGTCCCCTGGGGGGTCTCTTCATCAGGCCTCCTACCTCTCTACCCAGCTTTTATTAGGCCTCGCTTAGCATCAGCACAGTCGGCTTTAGTGGATAGAGTATGGTCTCTTGGTCAGTTGGTCAGATGGTCCTCTGGGCTATCAGGAGTTCGCTTCAAACCTCTTCACTTTGCATGCTGGTGGTATCCCATCCACTAAGTGACGCTTTCTCTCCCAGAACAAGGGACTACATGAGAGAAGCAGTAATACAGCTGCTCTGTGTTTGTGGTTTGCGCATACTCCTGCGAACCTGGTTGCAGCCAACCACCGTATCTTTTGGCTCTGCTCACCCTGCCTTGCCCTCCTCCTCCCCACACTCCTGGGTTGGCTGGCACCCTACTGCCTGGGCACTTTAATGCCCCCCTGACGACAATGGAGCAAGCAGCTCTTCTATCTACTTCCTCTCCATCACCCTCAGGCGGCTTCACCTTACTCTTCTGGTTGTGCCCTTTAATGGACATACCCTTTTGACCCCTTCTTCCTGTGGGCCCTTCCTCCTGGCTAACACCCTTACTGTTAGGCTAACATCCCCTCTGTCCTGTAATATTGGTTTCCTCCTCCACTGGCTCTAACCCCTTCTTTGCTTATCATCCACCTCTGGGCCTGAAATACTTGTTACAATACTGCTGGGAATGTGGCCCTACCATGCAGTGCTTTCAGTAGCATCTCATCTTCTATATGTTTGGTAGCATCAGCTGCCTAGATATGTACACTCTACCTAGCATGCGCAGGAAGTCACCAACCTCTATTCCTTTTGCAGTAAGAAGAGAGGAATTCTCATACACACCACCCTACTCTGTCCTACCCAGTCCTAGCAGCATGGTGCCCACCTTCAAGGCACTGCCAAGCTAGGTCCTAAGGCCCCTATCTGGACATCAGAATCCCTCATCATAGGGTTCTTCGTATACATATCCCACTTACTGCTATTGTAGTTCCTCCTCTTGTGGCGGGAGTCAAGGTGGACTCCCCTTATTTCAACTGCCCCCATGGGAGGCTGTCCTTCCTTTTACCCTGCTTTCTACAGTTGTGGGGTTTTCTGTAACATGTTCACGCCGGGGCGCTAATCACGCTGTCGGGTACAATAGAAGAGAGGTGACGTCTACCGGAGACTGTCAACTCAAGGCTTGCTAATGGAGGCTTCGGTGGCTTAATAGGAAAATAAAGATAACCGTTCAACCGAGTATATTAAAATACTGTCTGTCGAAGTCTGCCGTTTCCAGAGTGGAAGACGGCGGTCTTTTTAAGTACATGTGTTTGAGTACGATCATGAATTCTCACTCATGTTCTTACTCAATCAAAGCATAAAATTAACCAAGTATCAACCGATACTTAAAACAAAACATAAAACAAACTAAGTATCAACCGATACTTAAAACAAAACATAAAACAAACTAAGTATCAACCGATACTTAAAACAAAACATAAAACAAACTAACCGAGTACCAGCTCCGGTTACATTTTCTTTACTTATGAATTGTAGGTTATTACTTTGTAGTTTTTCTGACCATGCCTTACTTCAGGTGGCAGCTTGTTGTGTTAGTAGGTTAGTTTAGGTTTCTTATAGTTTCTGGTTGACTGGGGGTCCAGTCAGGAGGGATGTTTTTTTACCTATTATTTTGTCAGTCATCTTTAGCGATGCGAGGGACTATCTTGCTCCGACTTGAAGGACCTGCTGCTTGTTGAGTATTTCCTTACTGTTAATACATTTGGAATTAAGGTTTTTTGTACACCATACTATGAGGTTCATGTGCAGTTTTGTACCATAAACAATAACTACATGAATTAAAAGAAAAGTAAAAAATTACTATAAAACTAATATATCTGCAACTATAAATGATCACCCAGGTGAAATACTCTATCACTGGAGGGTCTATTACGTACAGTACAAGTAGTATAAAAAATAAACTTAAATTTTTTAAATTTTTAAATACTTTAGGCTCTACAACTTTGAGTATAATTGCTAAAAGAAAACTTGTTTCTGAAAGAGCAGATGGAGGAGGGTATGAACTAGCTTTTTTTCTGGCAATTATAATGGTGATTGTAGAACCTGAAGAATTTAAAAACTTGTATTTTTGAAAAACAACTTGGAAGCCAAAAAAGTGTTACATCAACCACACTTGATTGGCTTAGTAAGCATGAATTTATTTCATAAAACCATAGTAGCACCTGCACCTGACGGATCAAACTTTTTAAGATGAGTTACGGATACAGCATCATACATAATATAGTTAATAGATAATATCATAAATATATACTAGACACCAGTAATATCCAAAATCGAGTGACCACCCATGGAAAAGGGCCCAGCCATTCATACCTTTCAAGCGGAGGGATTTCAGTTAGCTTGATAGCTATAGGCTAACGTGCATCTGGGATATCCGGCGCACACAATAGGACGATAACATGTCAAGACCTCCCTCCCCACGGCGACAGTAAATTAGTTCAGCCGATACAGTATCATACTAAGGCGGCAGCCAGCAGTTCCTCCGACCAAGCCAACTGCTCCCGAGCCCCCTCCGCCCGTGAACTACGCCTAACACCGATATCATTCCCGATCTTAGACTTACAGCTACATATCTCCCCGAGCACCTTATGAACCGCCCCAACCCACTGAACCACCGGCACTTTACACTAAAAGTAGCAACCCATCCTCATCTAAGCTATTTCCCGGAAGAGCACCCGGACTTAACTCAACTAAACGCAGGGAGGGGACAGAAGGAAAAGCAAAAAGCAAAAAAAAAACCCCCAGAAACAGGATCGAGCAATGGTTCAGAAAGCGTCGCAACCGTGTGGATACGAAACAATAACAAGTCACTTGAAGATTTCCCGTTCGAAAAGATGAGACTGGTCACCATCCATTTCACCCCTCCAAATACCAGTACCAGTACCCACTCTACCGTTCGTGCTGTGCGAAGGTGTTATCATTGCGCATTACGGACACTGGGGGAACCGAGGCATAGTCGGGATGGGGTAATGCGAGGTCGGTTAATCAGTTATCCAGGGACGCAGCTGTATCATTGGTAGGGTGGGCAAATGTACAAACGCGATGATCTAGAAGCCCTTTTGGCATTAGTTAGCACGATTCTTGAGAAGGCTGCTGATGCACAAAAAAAAAAGAGGAGGCGTCATGAAAAAATTAGAGTAAAGTTGTGTTGCCTTTTTTTGATCTTCATGATGATCAGGGTTAAAAATATATAATCTTTCGCCATAGGTATGCAGGGACTGGTTGGTGGCAAACAGATGAGGAATCTGACCTTTATATCAAAATCTTGCGAGGCAATTCGGGCCCATCTTGTGAGTCATATCTTACGGGCGATGAAGCGCGCTTTTGTCCAAGTCCCCAACCAACATCAAACTAAGGTTTGGATTCACAAGAGGGCCAAGATACGGAAGAAAAGGTTGGATAACTATGATTTACTCAAGTTCGTGACACCATCCCGTTTAAAAATTACTTTAACCGAACAAATCACCGAATCCACCTATGCAGAGGTCAGCCGAGATTCCCGGGAGCATTGGAAATTCATAGAAAACATACCCTCATCCTCCGATTCCTCTTCTTCCTTCTCGTCCTCCTTAGTTTCTGGCCCGCCGTCCCCAGGATCAGCGGCACCGGCCCCAGGAGTAGGACCAACAGAAGCGTAAGCATCGGGGTTAGCAATCCTGTCCTTAAGCTCATCAATTGCCTCCCAGGAGTATTCGGTGCCCAAAGCGACAGCAATGACATTCTTGTAAGAGTTGACCAAACTGTGAACAACCGATGGCAGCGTGGGATAGTTCACAGCCAAAGAGATGGTCGCGAGAGTCCTGGCTGCGCCCAAAAAGCTGTCCAAGATTTGTTTCTCATCGATGTCCAAAACAGAGGGTGCAAAAACCTGACCATTGTCGTAGACCTGTGCGATACCCATACCATAGGTGAAGGGAGAGATGTTCAACATGTTGAGAAGGGTGGCTTCAGAAGCCCCGACTTTGCTCCCGGCCTCAACGAGCTTAAGGTCGGTGGTAATTTCAATGGTGCCACGGGCAATCTTGGTCGGGACGCCGAGAGCCTGGAAGAAGGAAGTCTTTCCTGGTTCCATACCGGTGTTTCCCGCAGGGACAAAGACGTCAAGAGGAGCGACAGCACCGGCACGGGCGGGGGCAGCGACCTTATTGGAAACAATCTTCTCACGGACATCCTTCAAATCGGCATCGGTGAAGACGAATCCAACATTCCCTAGATTCGGGGGGCGTTAGACCGCAAAACACAGGATAACCAGAGAACCCGATCGTCTACCCTTAACGTGTGGAAGAAGACGCTCGTACTCAGGAGAGTCGGGGAGCAAGCCACGGATAGCGCGGCGAACCATGGTATTCTTTCCCATGAGAACAACACCTTGACCTCTCAGAGAGGCACGGATCTCGTGCATTTGCTGTGAAGAGACCTGTTTCCAATGGATAATCAGCACTCCTCATCCAGGATATACGGGCAAACCCAGCACACGCATGTTCGGCGGAAACCCACATTGTCGACGGTAACGATGAAAATACTCTTGTAGGCCTCGAGGAGTCCCTTGAGCTTTTCGAAATATTCTACCTTGTTGGTCTTGGCCCCCATATCTTCTTATAGGATGAAGAGAGGTTTTTTAAGGTTCAAGACGGATGAGGGTGGGAGTGTGAGGTGTGACGGAAAGCTGTTGCGAATTGCTGATGGGATTCCAAATTTGAGGCAGGAAAAATGGTGCTTGTGTTCGACATGGGTTGTGTGGGGACTGGGGGCGGACAGAGGGAGGGCTAACCCCACCAGTCACGTGAAAAGAGTGAAAAGGGTCCTCAAACACTCCCCGATGACAAATAAGGACTAGGCAGGATCGAGATTGCGCGAGAAACCCATGCCGCCCTGGGCTGGCAGGCAACAGCCGGGGCAGGGTGTGTGAGTGCGAAACCGGAGCGACGCCAAGGGTACTGTACTTGTACGGTAGGGTGCTCTGCGTCTTGTGTCGCTCCCAGCCGACCAGGCTGCCTGGGCAAACGACGATGCAGAGTACGATACCCGTGCTCGTGAATGGGGTCTTTCTTCGTTTTTTCGTTCCCCCCCCAAACACCCAGCCGCATGAGAGAAATACACAATACAGCAGCACCGTATGACCCTGAGCAGTTGGCAGGTAGGGAGGTAGAATGAGAATACCGTGGAAAGGGCTACCTGTCCGCTTGAAGGTTTACTAGTACTCGTATCATACATACATGCGTCAATATATCGTACAACATGCACTGAACGTACTGTGCGAGTACATAGGGCAACGTATCCTTGCGATATCGCAGAGGAGACTGCGGTACCGTACTGGGTGATAACATGGCGGTTCTCAACAGATAGAAGGGAAGAGAGGGAAAGGGGAGAAAGGGAAGGGGGAGGAAAAAAAAAAAGGGAAAAAGGAAAAAAGGAAAAAAGAAAAAGGGATCACCCCCCAAGGAACTCGTGCATAAGACCCGATTTCGACCCTCTCCCCATACAATGTCACGGTGGACCGCTGAACCGAATAATTGCTGATAGCCGCTCCAAGAGACCTTGGTCCGTTAGAGGGGTCCGGAGAAGAAAAGATACTCGCACCGCCCTCGTACGTGAACGAGGAGTAATTGCTCTCCCCTTGGCTGTCAAATGTTGTCTCTGGCGAGTTGAAGTCGTTAGCGTGCGTCCCTCCCGGACCTGCGTGTAACCTCGGACTTCAGGCTGACTTTGCCCTTTCCCACGGATCCCGCAGATCTTGGACGACAGCTGTTCCAATACGGTATGCTCGATGTTCACGATTGAATGAATTCTTCGGTTCAGCATCCAGAGCTATTCTTCGGAGGCTTCTGATGAATTATTCGTCGGATCCGGCGATAGTTTTGACATATATCCATCCGGGCTACCTTGAGGGGGACCTGTCGCGTTGGTTGGTGGCACGCTGGTAATATAGTAGTTGCCCAGCAGTTTTTTCCCATTTCCCTTGACCTCGCAACATTGTGGCATACACGCGACTTGGTTAGTACTGCTGCCCTTTACGGAGTATCCACTCACTGCCCACCCTTCAACTTCCCACCGTACAACGCCTTCTATTCCCTCATTCGAGAGGTGTCCATCTCTTTGAACAGGTAACATAGGCAGATGCATTACACTTTCATTCCCTATAGTCAACGGTGTCCCCTTCCAACCTTGTTCCTGCTACTACGGCACATGTCTGGCTATTCCAGCCCGTAATGAGCTCTCTCGACTGACATTTCTCTGTTATCCTACGTAACATACCGGTATCTGTTTCCCTACTCCCCCCTCCCCTTCTAACTTGTTCCTTCCTCTCTCCCCCCTCCCCTAAACCTGCCTACCTACCTACCTACCTACATACATACATACATACATACATACATCCCTTCCCACCACCACCACCGCCAATACCACTACTCCCTCCAGCTCCCCTCCCCTCCCTCCCCTCTCTCCCTCATCCTTCCCACACCGCCCACCCGCACTATCCCTCGGATTCACGGCCTCATCCATCCTTCCACCCACCACATCTTTCCCCGTAGCCAACCATTATATGTTGTTTGAACCTTCGTTGCTATCCTGCGTAGCGTGGGAGGCTTAAAACTTTCTTCACATATAGAGGCTTCCCTTTACCGATAGGGTTGAGGCATTTGCTTCACCTCAGAATTTGGTCGAGCAGACGGTAGAATCTGTGTGCAATTAGTCTTCGCCCTATCTGTCTCGTTTCACTTTCCCACTCTTTTGTCATCCAAACCCACTCTATTCCTCTTTCCTACCTCCCTTCCACACACACACACTCAACTCAGCAACCCACACCTTCTCTCGTCCCTCCTCTTCCTCCCCCCCTCCTCAATCCTCCCTCGAACCCCCCATACTCTGGACACTCATCCCACCTCTGTTCATCTGTCACTATAATTCTATCCTCGCTTTTTGCCGTGCTGGTACATTGGAGGGAGCTACGCTTCTTTTTTTTTTTTTTTACCCCTGCAACCCCCCACAGTTAAGTTTCTCCTGCGTCTGAGTTTTCCCTTTCAAATACCCACGCTTGGGATCTGGACCATCAAACGTCCTGACCTCCACCCTCGATGGCCGATCGTAAACCATCCGTTTCCACCTCTAGGACTACGGCTGGCAATGGCGCCGCTGGGGATACCTCAACAGGTACCACAAATACCCAAACGACGACTGCTATAAACACGCGCTCTACATCTCCTTATGGAACCCGCTCCCGTGGTAGAGGGGCACGTATAAATTATGCCGAGGACAAGGACAATGACATGGACTATGAATTCACCTCTACCCCTTCGACGTCATCTAGTAAATCTGCCGCCGCCGCCGAGCCAGCACCCTCGACGAGTGTGTCGCGGAGAGCATCAGCAGTTGGAGCTGGGGCGAAGGACAAGGAGGCTGTTAAGGAGAATATTGCGACGGTAGTCGCTGCTACAACCGCATCCGGATCAAAAAAGAGAAAGAGCGCCCATCCGGCGCCCATTATGCCAAAGGATATGACACTTTCAAATATGATGAGCTTTCAGAACCCCCGTCTCAAAGATGGGAGCTTGATCGCGGACGATGGTACTTCGCTCGCTGTAAACGGTATAGTTCTTGCAACTCCTCTTCTCACGAGCTCCTGTGAAATCCGGACATCTACAGAGCTTAGCGAGGCACCCGAATTCTTGTTCTTATTCTTTTATTTTTTCACTCCTGCCCGTTCGTCAATGTAAATTGGGGGGTAAATTGTTGACGCTAACAGTAACATCTCTCTAGACCATATTTATCTCGTATGCGAGCCTCCTGGGGAGCCCTATTATCTTGCCCGAATTATGGAATTTCTTCATGCAAACAATAATCCATCACTGTCTATAGATTCAATACGGGTCAATTGGTATTATCGACCAAAGGATATTCAGCGAAAGGTTACCGACACGCGCGTGCTCTTCGCGTCCATGCACTCTGATTGTTGCCCACTCGCTTCCATTCGTGGCAAATGTTTCATTTCACATAGATCGGAGATTAAAGATGTTGACGAATACCGGAAGCAGCGAGATAGCTTTTACTTTGAAAAGATGTTCGATCGCTATATTCACCGATACTACGACGTTATCCCTACGACAATGGTTCGTAATGTTCCGGAAAAGGTCCGAAAAGTGTTGGTTGAAAGGTGGAAGTATTTGCTGGTTGAGCCGCAGCGAGCAAAGGAATTATGCAGCCAAATGAAGGAATGCAAGAGGTGTTCGGGCTACTGTGCAACGTACGAAATTCTCGAGAAGAACCCTTTCATTTTTTCAGATGTTTTTCTTTTCTTTTTCGCTCCCCCCCCCCTCCCCCCCACCATCTTCTGTGTATTTTAGGGTTGCTAATGTGATGGCTTGTAGGACCGATTCCGTACATTGTGCAGTTTGTGGTCACACATACCATATGAATTGTGTTCGCCCTCCATTGCTCAAGAAGCCGAGTAGAGGGTTCGCTTGGGCGTGTGGACCTTGTAACCAAGCCCAGGAACGCAAACTTGAGGCACGCAACACGCCCAATCTGACGCTTGGGATGGGGAATAGTAACGACCTTGAAGACGATGTTTTTGACGATGAGGAGGAGGACTTATCGCCGAGGGCTGTCCCTTCTGACACCGCGACCCCTTCCGAAGCAGCCGATCATGATAAACAACCCACACCAGAGCAATTAGCATGGGCGAGAATGTGGCCTATGAGATATCTTGGCCAGCATTGCCGTGTCGAAGACGCCTTGGATTATGATGATCGCATATATCCTCGAGCGGCCTCGCGGATAGGGCCCAGGCACCAAGCGAATGTCAATCCTTGGCATGGGCGACCTGTCGAGTATGTGAAGCCTATCGAGAAGAGAAAACCTCAAAAGGGTGGCAGCAAGAGCGCTAAAAACGCCGCGGCAGCAGCGGCGGAGGCCGAAGCGGCAGCGGAGAGAGAACGGCGTCCAAAATGGGTGATGGACGAACCCGTGGGATATATTCGGCGAGGCGAGGATGACGGCTCAACCTCCGCTTTGCTCTTTAAAATGCCCGATTTGCCGGAGGAGGAGGAAGGAGAGGAGGCAGAAAAAAAGCGAGTAGAACATGGGGAATCCATTGACCGTTTTATGTCAGATGCGTCCAAGATCGCCGAGACCCTACCTGGTGGGGGTGTTAAAGAATGGACCGTCAATTTTCAGGATAAAGCAATCGAGCTTCTCTATGCCAACAACTTTGATGAAAGGAGAGCCTTAGCTCAGCTCGGCAAAATGCATGTTATGAGAGATCTCAAGGAGCCTAGATTTAAGCCCGATGAGCATAAGCGGTTTGAGGAAGGCGTAGCGAAATTTGGAAGCGAACTTCATGCTGTCACCAAGAATGTCAAGACAAGGAAAACGGCGGAGATCGTGAGATACTACTATACGTGGAAGAAAACCGCCAAAGGCCGTGAGATATGGGGCAATTTCGAGGGACGAAAAGGAAAAAAAGAGGTTAAGGTTAGGGACAAGGAGCACGGAGCGAAATTGGTGGACGATGTTGCCGATGATGATGACGACTCCGCCTTTGATAATAACAAAGCTGGCGAAAGGAAACGGGGGTTTCAATGCAAATTTTGTAACACGCGTGAGAGCAGGCAGTGGAGACGTGCACCCGGTGTACAACCTGGAACACTGATTCCTGCGGATAAAGCCACCGCAAGCTCGAAGAAGAGGGGTGGAGAGGAGAGATGGCTCGTCAGTGCACTTTGTAGACGGTGCGCAGAGCTCTGGAGAAAATATGGTATACAGTGGGAGGAGCCCGAAGAAATTCAAAAAAAGATCAACCAAGGAGGTGGCAGAGCGTGGAAGAGAAGGATAGATGAGGAGATGCTAAAGGAAATGACTGCCGCGCTAGCAGATGAGAGGGCGGAAGCCGCTGCGCTTGCTGCCGCCTCAGCCCTTGCGACACCTACTCCGCCAGTATTAAACGGCACTCCTGCTGATGCACAAGACGAAAAGAGGGAGCCAGCCCGGAAAAAACAGAAAACAGAGGTTAATGGCTCGTCAAAGAAAGGAAAGGAGAGGGCTGAGAGGAAGGAGCCACCGCCTCCTCCACCGGAGCCGCCAAAGCCAAAACTGTTACCGTGCGGGATCTGTGAGGAGTTGGAGCCCCTGGGGGACCAGCACTTGGTGTGTCGGGACTGCAAAATGTCTGTACACAAGGCGTGCTATGGCGTCGGCGAGCAGCGTGGAGCGAACAAATGGGTTTGCGATATGTGCGCTAATGACAAGAACCCAACCGTTTCCACTGTAAGTCTCCCTACTCCACATTCGAGAAAGTGTACTCACGGGTTACAGAACTACGAGTGCGTTCTGTGTCCCTGTCATGGTTTCACCGATCATGAGGACGGCGGCGTTGGTACTAGCGATAAGGACCTTGCGTCTAAAGGTCCAGGCAGGAAAAAGATTCCAGGGGAGAAGGATAAGCCGATCATCAATAATCACGGCTCACATGAGGATGGCCGTAAGGTTAAGGAGATCGATAAGCGTCGGCCAAAACACCCTCGTGAACCACTGAAGAAGACGTCGGGGAATAATTGGGCCCATGTTGTATGCGCTATCTGGACCCCCGAGACAAAATTCGCAGAGGCAAAGACCATGAAGATTGTTGAAGGCATTGGCACTATCCCCGTAGCGAGATGGTCACAAACCTGCAAGATTTGTGAGAGCGATGGGGGTGCTTGCGTTGGATGTCATGTGTGCCACGAGAGCGGTAAGTGTCCACAGCCGCCTTATACTTTTTGCAAGTTTTGCTAATGTAACATGTTCACAGTTCATGTCGGTTGTGCGCATAAGGCGGGATGGCCAATGGGATTTGATATCCAGCCGGTGAAAGGCTCCAAGAAAGATCAAGCAAACATCGTCAAGCTTGGCAACGAAACCGGAAGTATGACCGCTGCTATCTGGTGTCCGGAACACGACCCGAAAACGACCAGACATGCGCTCAACGAGATATCTGAGGAGACCGGACAGGTAAGCCTCAGGGTAGGGCGTTTCGGAAAAAGACTATATTAACAGTTGTTTTGCAGAACGCCTTACAGCTATATACTACGACATATAAACAAGCGGATCTAACGCTTACGGGAACGGTTCGTAAGGCGAACCTGATGACGATATCCACCAAGGCTTCGCAGTCGCACAGGAGAAATAGTGCAGGGGGGGCATCCGCAAATAATATGGCCAATGGTAAAGAGTTGGCTTGTTCGCCCACAACTGTGTACATCAAGATGGAGGGGGCGGAGGACAAGGTTGGAGGAATTGAGGGGCTTCTTGATGATCACGTAGGTGGCGATGAGCCCAAGCGCTGCTTCAGGTGCCAAACGGATGTCAGCCCACTCTGGCGGAAGGTTCCTATGGATACACCAAGCCCAACAGAAAATACTACACATCTGACCAATGGGACGCCACAACCTGCTACCAATGGGGTGCTGACCAATGGAGATGCATCTTCGCGTTCGTGCACCGTTGGGCTACTCTGTCATCGCTGCCAAAACAAGGATCAGGAGCCGGGGCAATCGCAGCATTCTCCCCCATTTTCAGCAACGAACGGGCATCAGCGGAGCAGGTATGCGCCACTTCCACCATTATCCACATTCCTAGCGTCTCAACAGGCGGTCGCGCCACCCCCACCACCGCCTCCAGTGTTGATCCAGGGTACCGGGCCGTCTGGGGTACCGCAACCAATGCCTCTCCAGATGGCTCCCCAGTTAGTGACTCAAATGGCGCCAATTCCTCAACATCATGCGCACCCACCACCACCTCAAGCGCTACCTCATCAACCGCATATATCACCCCACCCCCCCCCTTCCGCACGTGGTCCCCCACACTCAACAATCCTCCCACGCTCTCCCGCATCACCCACCATCACACATTCCCCCGCACCCACCACATGTGTCTCCGTCACGACAGCACGTAGTGGGAGTGCAACACCTTTCTCCACATCAACACCCCATTCACCCAATGTCCCCGCATCAACATCAGATCCTCCCGATGTCTCCGCATGCCCCGCACTTGAGGTCCCACCCACCTCCTCCACCTCACGCCGTCTCCCACCCACCTCCCCCTCATCAACAGCCAGGTATGCAGGCACAGCCCCAGCCTCAGGGTCCCCCTCAACCTCCCCACGCCCAACCTCTCCCACCACAGCCCCAATCATCCCACCCTCCTCCCCCATCACAACCCCAATCAAGGCCTCTTGCCAGTGCCTCGGAATCACCGGCGCTGGCAAACCTCCTTTCTTAGAAGAGTTTAATAAAGGGCATTCATTCTTTCCATTCTTTTTTATCCGCTTCTGAACACGCCGGATGGGGGCCAGAGAGTGGGTTGCATGCTAACTAGTTTTTTGTTTTCCTTCGTTTCCTTTCTTCATTTCATTTTTACCCATTCATGTACATTTATTCACCTCCTGTTTTCCGGCTTCTATTTCTGCTCTTTAAATCTCTGCCTGCCCCTCTACCCTTCCGCCCCTTTACCTATTTGCCCGCCTAGTCTCGAGTCATCCGCGCATTAGTTACACCGCTTCATGTTTTCTTTCTTGACTTCTCTCATCTTATCCAATCGTTGAGTCGATACACGCCAAACAAAGCAAGACGCAAGGGGGAACACCCGGAAAGCGGATTATGTATTTTTAGAAAAGTACACAGCTATGTTAAATTGCTGTTCTTGACTTGATAATCATGTTTATACTATGCGAGTGCGAGTGTGTGTGGTTTGGGATTTGGTCGGTAGGGGGCGTTTTGTTATACTAGGGTATTTTTTTTTTTTTTTATATGTTCAAGTGCTGGTACAGTGCGTCGAGTCGGGCTTGTTAGGGTGTGCAGTCCGGTATCAAATGTATTGTTACAGGCACGGTTTGAAGGAATGCTCCGCTCCGCTCGGCGTTTTTTTATTCATCATTTTATTATTTTATTATTATCATTATTATTATTCCTTCCCTTTCCCTTTCTTCCCTTCCCTACCCTCACCCACCCACCGCCCAGCCCAGTACCGGTATGACACCGCCTCGTCTCTTGCCCAATCGGTTGTGAAGCGGCGAGGAACAGAAAAGTCGAGTTCGCCCTAAGAGCCCCATAATCCCTATGCTATGATAGATAGTCTTGCACTTTTATCTTTTATAATATTATATATACATATTCGTGGTATTATTAGGGTGACGATTGGGCCATCCATTTATCCATTGGTTCCTGTTGTTTTTTGTTTTTTTACTTTGAATGGTACAGTACAAAGAAATCACAAGCCGATACATCTCTAACGACCTGAACGGGGAAAAAAAACAGCATTTATAATATATTACATGAACACGACCATACTTTACAAAAAAGCGGATATCACAACTTGAAAGAAAGAAAGAAAGAAAGAAAGAAAGAAAGGCCAATCACTTTATATATCATACGGTAGTGGGGTCGATCTCAAGAGAAGGAAGGAGGAAGAGGAAGATAATAATAATAAAAAGAAAATAAATAAAAATGGACAAATCATGTAACTCCACGCACTCGCCCAGATAAAGTGATGGATAATAATAACAAAGAGCGTTGTCTCGGATTCCGTGATTACGGTGAACATACCACACCAAGTATTTTGGGGAGATTGAAGTCGGTCGGATGGGTAAAAAAAAATATCCAAGTTTGGGGGGGGGGGACGGTAAGAATTGTGATCCGGATCTGGTCGAGGGCCGTAGTGCCAGGGTATGGCTTCGCCGCAAAAAAAGGTCTGGCTCTGGGGATTTGGGGAAGTAGTCCCCTTGGTTGGGTTTGACTTAGTATTGTTTACACCAGATATCCATCATGTCCTGGTCCTCATGGATGGATGGTGTTGTGGTAATGGACTTACGGGATTGGTTGTCAATCATATAGACTGATAAGGGAGGAATGCATACAAATATACCGTATTAACTTGAATAAGAGCAACACACCTCGGGACGTCTGACTTGCCTATTTTGGTAGGGACGGGAGAAAATACCAGCAAAATAAAACCACGCGTTACCAAGAGGGGAAACCTAGACGTCCCGAGCGGTGTTGCTCTTATTCAAGTTCATACGGTACCTGCCCGGCCCATGGGGCGGAACCTAGCTATAACGGTTACTACCTCGTTCTCATCCAAGAAAGTAGCATTATTAAAGCCGGCTTCATATGATTCAACGCCACGACGAGTGCGGGTCGAGACCCTAAAGTGGACCAAGTGGATGCGGATAGGGTGGGCCGAATCACCCGAGGAGTTCTCTACTTCCCAGACCTCAATGGATCCTAGTGTCAGAGCAGGTCGACAGGAGAACTGGGAACGGGTCCGTTGCAGGTAGTGCTGCCAACCGTGGCGCCTGCATTGATTTCCATGACAAGGTTGGCCTCTGCGTAGTCCTCGCTGCAGGAAAAGTTGCAGTCGTTCTTCATTGTAAGGTTTCTGTCCGGCGTAGAACGAGAAGCCCATGATAACTTCATATCGTTCAGCAATACCGAGGATCATGGTGCTGGTTGTGGCAGACGCTCCCACGAAGCCCGAGTCCGAGATTACAGTTTGTTTGGATGCTGCTGGTTGGAGTAGATGAGCGAGGGAACCACCGATTCTGACAAAACCATTGCGACCCCATTTCTGTTTGATCGCCCAACAGTAATCTTGCAAGACCTGTCAGGACTACCGTCAAGAAGCCGGAAACGACATTTGCAGGGCTCGACGTTGAGATATGGCCATGGAGCACCATTTAACATGGATCGCATCGCCAAAGTAGCCTAGTCAGTTAGCATCTTTGGTTGATCATTGCACCTTCCAGATTGGTGGCTGAAAGGCAGGATAAGCCTGCTAGGCCAGGTTTTCTATGGTAATCCCGTAGAATCCAAGTATCTCACCATTAGTGCGAGCGTAGGTGGTCAACGGGGCAAGGGCGCCCGGAACCGTGAGGGGCTTTTCTATCAGAAAACCCTCGATTAGCCCTGGAGGCACTATCGAGTGATTGTTAGTGAGCTTGTGAAAGATGGGCGTGCGCGTAAGAGAAAGCCAATAAATAATCATGGCCGCGCTTGAAAACTCTGGACAAAAGATGAGTGGGGAAGCGGGAAAGAGGGTCAGCAGATGCAGTGGAGAGAATAGTAGAGGTGGTGCTGCAGAGAAGAGAACACTTTCATCTTGAGGGATTGAGGGAGGCGGCAATGGAAATCCGACACCACAGAACACCGGTATCGGCCCGAAATGAACTAGACTATCCGCCCTCCTGTCCCTCCTGTAAGGGAGTGAACCGGAGTTTGACTGGAGCCGGGAAATATTCCGGTTCCCGAAAAAAGTTCCAATATAACCAAATCACAAACCCCCATCTCCCCGATCCCGAGGAAATGGCAATCCTCAGCGAGGCGCATTTCCGGAAGCGGCACACGCATCCCTTATATCAGCTCCACTTTCCCTAGTCATGATTGCTCAATTCGTTCTTAACTTCCTGAACTCTGAATCGCCCGGTAGAAGTGTCACGGAGAGGAGTTCACCTCCTCTTGGGTAAGAATTGGGGGACAGGATACAAAAACGAGTAAACCATACAAGAAAGGGTGAAAAAGGAGAACAGGAGAGAGAGAGAGAGAGAGAAATCATAGTCTGTCCCTCGAGAGATGATACATTACCACAATCACCCAAGACCTCGTTAGCGCTAAACAGCTACTTTCCGCTAAAGATATGCAAAAGTGAAGGTAGTCGACGCCACCGAACCATGGGGTCAAACTCGGGATATCATGCCCACCATTGACCAAACCACCGACCACCTCCCTCTCTCATGACTTGGAAACAGAAAAGAAAGTTGTTCCATAGTCAACCCCCAGATCTTTTGGCGGGCAGGTCTTACACCCCGCTTCTCTTTCCCTCTCACTTTTTTCCACCCGGATGATGTTTCTTTGAGAGAAAGATGCTATCTCCAATCACACTTTTACACCCCGCCCCTCCGTGCTACGAGGTCACAGTGCGATCTTGTATAAGCTAGCACTGCCCCTTAAGTACAATTCCAGCGAGAGCTATCTCAAGGTATGATGATACCCAAGTTGCTACGGTGTATTGATAACCCCCACCTATCAGATTGGGCAAACCCCGATGGATGCTAATTAGCTATCGTAGTATCTATCATACCATACCAGCACGGTATATTGGTTACGTGCGTCAGCATCTCGGCCCCGAGGAAAATCTTGCACCGAATCGTTTGCTTAATTACCGGGTTCAGGTCCAAGGTGGCCAATGTGCTAATCGGCCGCTTCAGGTACAAGTATAATACGAGTACTGCGCTGAACAGTACTGTGCTGCACTATTACCGGAAGCGCGGTATATCAGGGCTCATATAAGTAAGGATCAGCAATGCAGGGACGAATGAAAAATACGGTAACCATGATGGTTTGCCCGTTCTCGCAATACCGGTGGACTATCTATGCCTTGCCCATGGAACACCACCCCCACTGGAATGGCCCTTGCACCAACTTTCCTTAACATCCCTGGCTTATCGAAGTCTGGAAAAGAGCTGTGATTTGATATGCCGGGCGTAATAGGGTGGAAGGGGGGGGAGGGGGGGGAACTCGATATTTATTTATTCCCAAGCTTAAAAGAACCAAACTCGCAGTAATTACGGTATTCATATTGATTCCTCCCTTCCTCCCTTCTCTCCGCAAGGCAAGATAAACGGAAACAAGTGATTGGCTGATTAGAGAGGACCATCAGATTCCCATCTCAACTACCGTCCACAAGTTGGACGAGGGATAGCAAACACCCACATTCGGGGGGTAGGAAGATGGCTCAATATCCGCGGCATCACATCATATCATACCGTGCGCTCCGGGCGTCAAACCATACTGGTGGACAAAAGTATAGCAAGTAGTGAGATGGATGGGCATCATACCAAACAACAAACCCCCCACAACAACAATGTAGGAAGTAGTATTTAACATAAAAAGACCACACTGACAAATTTTCATTTTGGCAGTGAAGATTAAGCTTACAGAGTAATATACCGAGTTAGCCCGCGATCATCCCCATACCGTACCGTACATACCATGCAACAGGAATAGAGGAGGGTACCAATCCCGTTGTACGAGGCTGGTGCCAAAAATGGTGAGCAGTGTAAGGGTTTTCCACCGAAAATAGCCATATTCATGACCTTCCAACCACTGATTTAGTCAAGAAACCCAAACTAAATCTTTATCTCTATGTGAAACAATTCCCTGGATTTTACTTTCCAACCTTTTAGAACTCTCTATCTAAAGTAGTTGAGGAATTATCAAGAGAGCTATGGTTGGTACATTGGTCTTGGCGCAATTTTTGGTAATTTTGTATGGGAGATGGCAAGGCTTGGCGCTGTTTTCAGCTTCAACCTCAGAATATTGCATTCCAAAGTAGCTAAAAATTCTTTAATAATCCATGAGCACTTGGGGAGATATTTGAAAGAATTTTGAACCATATCATTAATTTTTCAATTTTTTTACAACTCCAGAATGTATTGAATAGAATGTGTGAACTTGCATGGTTTGGGTTGTTACATGCCATTTTGCTCATCATTTTTGTCACCAGCCTCGTACTATCATATGTCATCACAACACGGCAGTGAAAAAGAAAAGAAAAGAAAGAAAAACTGTGACCTCTAGGGGGGTATCCGGCTCCCTATGATTTGAGATCATGAGTTCCACATCGGGTCTTGAAACCTTCAATTTTCAATTTTTTTCTCAAATCATGATTGGCCAACAGCAAGCCTGTTCCAAATATCATAATCCAAATTTGAAATCACAATTTAGGGCATATCCACCGAGAATATGTATGATAATTATTATGATAAAAGTAGAGCACCGCGCAATGATCCCAGTTTTTTTTTTATGATATTATATCCTCTGAAGCAATAATAATCACGATATCAATATTTGTACGATAACAGGAAATAACAAAAAAAAAAAAATCCTTACGATATCATACCTCAAATTATATAATACCCTTTTTAGTGTATCATATTCCCGAAAAAGAAAAAAAAATCGGGAGATTATGATCTAAATTCCCCAAAACCCAGATTTGAAAAAAACCCCTGTTGGGTCAAACAAACACTGACAGATCAAATTACAGTGAGCCAAACACCCCCCCCCCAATTCGATCCACTCCGCCAATCGATCCACCCACCCCAGCCATCATAGATCTTTTTATTCCGGGCCAATCCACGAAAGCGAGGGAAAAAAACAAAAGCCACGACGGGGCTCAAACCTTTCGCCACACCTTTCATCCAAGGCGCTAGCCAGCTATAAAAGTGACATGGAGAAAGCCCTGGCATGGCAGGGGAGTATCACAGCATCGCACCCACCACACGGTGCCTCACAACGGGGTGGGACGGGGACAAAGTAAGGTACGAAAAGCGAGTGAGAAGTGATGATCGCAGATGTCGAGCCCCTTACCGGTATTGATAAGGGCTCACAGCAAGATATTGTATGATACCAACTTTGTGCATGTGTGCTGTAGCACCATTTACTGCATCACCACAATGTACAAAAGTACGATGGTCTAACCGTTCTCGCTCATTCCTGTGACTTTAGAACTGGGTGGTTGGCGTATCCTGAGTAGACTAGCTGATAAAAGATTTATCGGGATGTTCGAGTAGGGGAGAGTTATCATTGCTGTAGTTCAGGGCTGGGGTTGGTACCGTACTGGACTGGTACAGTACTGTACTGTGTTTCACGTGAGGGTGGGCTAAGTGTGATAAGTGATGCAAAAAGAGTGAGAGGTGAGGGGTGGGGTGGTTGGGATACGGTGCTGGTAATGCTATTTTGTCCTACTATTTGCATCGTATGAGTATAATAAGTACCATAAGTCGAAGCGGCATTGCTTGGGCTATGGAGGGAGTGGAGCGGACGGGACAGGTCACGGGTACTGGCATAGTACGGTAAATTACTGTACGATACCATCTAAATCTAACGGGACGGCAACGGCAGGGAAGCCCAACCCGGCACAATGTCCACCCCCCTCCCCGCGCACAAAACCAAACACCTCGAAATCCTCCACTACCCGATCCCGAACACCCCCCACGTACTGACCCTAGCCCAGACGCAGTCCCCCACTTCCGCCTCGACGGGAACAACGCTCTGGCTCTCCTCACAACTCCTCACCTACCACCTCCTCACCCTCTTCCCCCGGCCCCACCGTCCCCGCGGTCGCGCCATCGACCTGGGCGCCGGTACGGGCCTAACCTCGCATATACTGTCCTATCTCGGTTTCCGCGTTTGTGCGACGGACCTGGCGCAAATTGCCGGCGCAATCCTTTCCGAAAACGTGGCCCGGAACGCGAGCCTACTAGCCGGTATCGCGAGTAGCTCCCCCATTTCCACCCGCGCACTGGATTGGACGGCGCCGCTACCCTCATCAGCCTCCCTCTGGGAGGATTGGGACACTGGGGAGGAGGTGGAAGTTATCGTGACGGCGGACACACTCTACAAACAGGACCTTATACACCCGCTCATCCTCACCATTAGGGCTCTGTGTATGGCTTCGGCGCGCCGCGTGCAGGATAGGGGTGGAGAGGGTGGCAAGAGGTTTCCGCTGGTTCTGGTCGCGGTGGAAGTCCGGGATCGGGGACTCTTGCAATGCGCGTTGGAGGTTGCGGCGCGGGAGGGGTTCGATTGCCGGAGGGTGGGGGATGGGCGGGTTAAGAGGGGGCTGGAGGCTGCCGGGGTGCGCTGGGCGAGGGAGGAGTGGGAGGGGGGGGAGATTTGGCGGTGGGTTTTCAAAGGAGCTTGAGTGAGTTTAGGCACTTTCAAAAGAAGGCGAGAAGGTGGAGGTGGAGACAGCGGGTCAGGAGCCGAGCATACAATTTCTCAGCAAACATGCACTGTGATAAGCACCCGCGTCGTATTATCACCCTACTGTGCATATCAAGTTCCTACCAAGTACCCCGTAATGCACCTAGCCAACCCCGTTAACTCCACCGGTAAGTCTGTAGTATGATACCTCATCCATAGCAAAAAATAATAATTCACGAGCGAATCAATGGGATGATCGCCAGCGCCTAATTTCCGCAAGCTCATAAGTCGCAGCACCCCTTCACCGAAATTGGTGATGTAGACCTCAAAAACAAATATGTCATTGAAAGAAAAGCATTGATCCCCTCATAACGAGCTTAGGATAGCTAACAGCCCACGAGGCCCGAGATTAGAATCCTACTCCCAGAGCATCCTCCCTTCTGCACAGCAACACAGCAAGAGGCCTTTGAAAAGTAACAAGAAAAAAGTACAAGAGACGGGTATAAGGGGAAAAAAAGGAAAAAAAGCACAAACAAAAAGTGCTTTTAACAGTGACCGTAAATGCCACCCAACAGCCAACATTTTCTCTAATCCATCGACAATCCCCAAATAGAAACCTAGCATATTACTAGCAATCCACCAAGCCTTAGTTCCAAATAGCGGTGCATTGCATCTCGACTCCTTCCTCCACCATCTTAATCACGTCCAGCTCCATCTTCTCGTCAATGGGACCAACCTCAGGCACAAACATCTCAAAACCAGCGAGAGCCTTGCCCTTCGGTTCGACAGCGTACCTACACTGAGTCACAATTCTATTCGCCGCGTCGAGTACCCTGGAGTGGATTTCCCCAGTGGTGAGAGGAGTGCCGGATTTGCACACAATGAGGAGACGCTGCGGGTTGGCCTCAGAGCAATCAGCCCAGAGACCATCAATGGTGACCTTAATATAGTGTTGATGGATGGGGGTGTAAGCTGGTGGCGGCATCAAGAAGACTGGACGCTCGGGGGAGAAGCGGATGTAGACAATGTCCTCATCGTTGACGTGGTGGGTCCAGAAGGAGGGGTGGACCTGTAAACCATTTGAAAGAAGGATAGTAAACTTGGAATTCCTAGGAAGACCGAGTTGGGTCGCAGTTTTGACGAGATCCTTATTATCAAGAGTGAAATTAGCAGCTCGAAAACACAAAAGGTAATTCCATGGGATACGTACAGCATAAGTAGCAATAGCCTTGCGTGGGACAGACCAATACGTGCTAATATCACAGGCTGGTGGAAATTCATCCCGCTTCTTAGCAACATAAGTGACAACGGCGAGTTTATCTCTCGAGCCAATGCCAAAGTGGTGGTGACGGACTTCGCCATTGTCTTCGTCAATATCCAACACGGAGATGGTTGGAGTAATCGCACGTTGCGGTTCAATGACCGGCGACTGGTGGAGAGGGGTAGATGGTGGGGGATTAATTCCAGCAGTAAAGAATTCCATAACATCCATGTTAAACATAGAAGAGTAGGTAACCGATACTGTTTTTTTAGGGGGCTAAAGTTGCGGATAAGAAGCGAATGAGTAGAGATTAATGATGGAGAAAATGGAAGTGAGGGAGAAAGAGAGGAGAGAGGAGGAGGAGCAGAAGAGGAGAGGAAAACCGTATGACCTTTAGCGGTGGAGGTAAATAGAGGGGGGTGACCTCCCTTCATTCTTTTTTTTTTGTAAACCCGCTTGTTTGCCTTAGTGAGTTGGTGGAAATAGAATTGTTTGGATCTGCGCTCGAGTGAGATGTTGTGGAGGGCTTCGTGCCCGGGTTACGCAACAAGGCTCGTAGCTTATCCCAACAACCTTCTCTGAAGCCGAATAGAACTACTTTCACATCCTAGTATTCAGTTTTAATAAAAGGATTATCGCTACACCACTGGTTAAGATAATAAACACTTGAACTTCAATTATATAAAACAAGAAAATAAAAAACTACGTTACCTGAACGAAATCAATCTCGTAGGCTCGTACAAAATTTTCCAGATGATTCAGCCCACAGCAGCTTATTAGGCTATTCTGGTGGAGAGAGAGAGAAAACATATACATCAACATAGAAAGCAAGAAAGAAGCCCGCCCCCCCGCTATATCGAGTGGAGAATTGTTTCAACGGAATCTATCCGTACTCCATTTACACTCACATAGCTAATCCCATGGATCCATCCTACCATCAGACCCTCTCCCATTCCACACTCCCCTCACTAGTTCCGGCACTTCCACTAGCACTTCCGAGCCCACAAAGTCCCATAATCATCCCCTCCTCCTTCCTCCCCCCATTCCCATTCTTCCTCGCAGAGCCAAGCATCCACGAAACCAGCCCGCCCGGCATAACTTTGCCAAGCGCCTCGTAAATCATACTCCCGCTCCCAACTCTCCAAACCCTTCTCGGCTTCTCATCTGTCAGTGCATCAAACACCGCAAGATGCAACTCTCTCAAACTCGACCCCTTGATCCCGGCAGGTCCGCTATTTCCGCTCTTCTGAGACAGTGCAATGTAGTTCCTCGCATAAGCAATACGAGCAGGGGCAGCCCAGGATAGGATTTCCGCTCTGGCTGCATTGATGCGGTCTTGTTGCTGGCGGGCTATCATTGCGCTGCAATCAAAGGTTCCGAGTTTGAAGTGGCAGACCTCGACGCCCAGTGGTGCCAGCTCGCGATGGAGGGAAGTCGCGAGGCCGCCGAGAGCTGCTACAGTCACTGTCTCGGGAGCATGAAAAGGTGGAGAAAGAGGAGATATGACGTTTGGAGTTAGTAGGAGAAGGCGGGAGTGGAAGTCACAGAGAACCCGGAGGAATGACTTTGCCGTGACGACCGTCGAGAGGATCTTGACGTTTAAAACATCGGACCAAAGGTCTATTGGAGTAGTCTCCACCGGGCCAGTCGGGTAGGTTAAATCTGGGACCAGGATCACGCCAGCGAGGTTGAGGTTATGAGGGTGAGCTCCAGGAAAGGCATGTGTCGGAGTAGATAGGTACGTAGTGAATTTTTCCACAGCCGTTTGAGCATTATCGGTCTGTCACAAGTCAATTAGTTAGCGCAGACCGAGCATTATCACAACAAACCAAGAGAACGCACATCAAGGATATCGATATTCAGCGGTTTGATATCACTCCTCCCTTCATTTGCAACAACATGCTCATCCTCAATGCTATTAACAACAACATAGACAATAAACCCCCTCCTTTCCAAATCCAAAGCCAAACTCTTGGAAATTGGATCATGTGGACTCCCCCCAGCAATCACTACATCACCCCACGGTCCCATAATCAGCCAACCATCCCGATCTCAGTCCTATTCCAAGGAAAAAAAAAAAACACAGAAAGAGAATCAATTACCAACAACCTCCCTCCTCCCTCCATTCCCCGCCTTCTTAGCCCTCCTCTTCTTCTTATCCTTCTTCCTCTTCGAATACCCATAACCAGTAGCTCCCACAACCACCGCAACCCCAACTGCAACCATCGCAAAAGTCCACTTATTCCGATCCAACCACCCGCCCCTTCCCCCGGAGCCGACCGCGTTGAACATTCTCTCGGGAACGGGAATACGTCTGGGTGTGGGACGCGCGGACTCGGGGATCCATTCCGATTTCGAGAGGGTATCGCGGATGGTGCCGGCGAGCGAGTCGGCTTGTTTATCGATTGCGTCGGCGACGACGAAGGAGTAGGTCTTTAGGGAGTAGAAGAACTCGTTTATGGAGTCCGTTGGTTCTCCCGACATTTCTTCTTTTTTTTCTTTTTTTCTCCCTGTCGTTCACCTGCTTTTGTTGTTCTTGTTGGTAGAGGTAGCGATGACGAGGGGTGAGGTGATGAAGGTGGTGGTGGTGGTGGTAGTGGCGATACCGTAGCGGTGGTGCAGGAGGAGGGGTAGCTATTATCGACAAAATAAGTTAGGATAGAAACGGACAGACTCTGATTGGACTAGTACCATAGGAGCACATATGGTAAGCTCTTACGAGAATGATGTCAAGAAACGCCAAGAATTCATAAGACTGGTTTCCAGCCCGACTCAAATCACATGCATCTCACCCCGTTCATTCAAAGTCACTCGGGAAAAGGGGAAGGAGTTGCCCCCTTTGAAGTACGATAGGGCAGTAAATCACCATAAATCCCAATCACAAGCGGCCAAAGAGCCACGACGAGTATCATCCTGTAATTTCACAAATCCGGCCCCAAAAAGGAATGGATAATGTAAGCTAAACGTTCCAAATTTTATTATTATACAGAAAGGTGTCATGTTAAACTCCCGAACACCAATCCAGTGAAGTGATCTAAACAAAATCGGGACTGGCTTATATGGTGTGGGTGGAAAGTTATCGCCTGGACTTCGCGAGTACTGTACTGTACGGTGCTTTCTGACCCTTTAGATCTCTAGATTTAAACTGGCTGAGACGAGGAATTGTCAGGAGAGCTGTCGGGATATATTGCACGTTGGTTTTGGTGCCTGTTAACTTCGACCTTACGATTGCGGTTTGCCGGAGTGTTACAGCCAACATTTTTTTCAGTCATCTGGGGGCAGTTGGGAAGAGATTTGAAAGAATTTGTGACTACAATACCAACAATTCTCCAAAAAAATTTACAGTCCCAGAATGCCTTGAACGGAAAACGTAAAGCACGAGAGCATGGTTTGAATTGTTACATGGCATTCTGTTCATCAACTTTGGTGCCAACCCCGTACAAGCACGCAACCTCTATAAAACCAATCTGTTCGACATTAATTATTTTCCCCTAACCCTTCCTTATGCCAGTCTATTATCAAGGGACGCCTACAAAAAAAAATCACAATGCGCTTGCAAAAGGAAAACAAATAAAGCCAAATAAAGTTACCAACTATTTCCATGCCTCATCGTCCCCGGCTCTGGTGAAAGGAAATGAATGGGAGAAGAAGAAAAAAAGGTTACTAGAAGCCAATAATAGAGTATGAAACAAGCGAAGAGGAAATAATAAGCGGATGGGTATCATCTACACAAAGCTACAAGGGAAAAAAATGTGTAAGAATGTTCATCTGGCCAAGAGCTTGCAGGAAAGAACATAAAAGGTAAAAGTACCCCCCGTGATTTCAGGCTATAAAGTTAAAGAAAGAAGAAAAGCCAGCAGTAAGAATAAAAGTACTTCATGAGTACGTAAAAAAAAAAGGGGGGCCACATGGCAAAGAAGTAAAGCAAGGGCAGTGAGAGCAAAAGGTGGTGAGGGAAAATGTTATCGGGTCAAAAAAAACTCGTCAGGATCACAAAAGAAATGCAGAAAGTCCAATTAGAAAGTAAGAATAAGGAAAACGCAGGGTTAAGAAAGAAAAAACTTGCAACATTCAAACCCCTTTTCCTATTTACTAGGGGGGAGGGGATGATATGATAGAATAGGATGACAATCACTTCTTCTTGCCACCACCGCTGCCTTTCTTTGCAGCCTTCTCCTCTTCGTCAAGATACTTGTCCTTCCATATCCAACTATTACCGACCATGTTGACACCCTTAGCCTCAGCCATGCGGTAGAATTTGGCGGACTTCTTGAGATCTTTCTTGCAACCGACACCGTTGGCGTAGCAATAACCTGCTTCAGAAAGTGCATCCGGGTCTCCCCATCCTATTTTGAAGTCAGCTAACAATTGAATATCATGGCCCAAGGGGAAACAGACTGCCTGCAATCTCAAAGCATCTCAATGCCAAGCCCTGATCCTTCTCAGTTCCCCATCCATTCATATGACTGACCCCCAACTCATAAATGCTCAATGCGAACTGAGCTCTTCTTCCCTTCTTCTCAATGTAGTCGACACTCCCACCAGCCTGCTCGTCATCTGCAACCTCAGAACTCGCTAACTCTGTAACTTTCTTCAACCACGTGACACCTTCTTTTTGGTTTGCTTTCATACCCCATCCATGGCGACATGCAAGTGCAAACATGAGCATACCAGTAGGGTGCCCAGCGTTGGCGGCAAACCGGAGATGATACGTAGACTCCTGAAGAGAGCCAGATTCGTGAAGGTCAATACCAAGTTGCACATGGTCATCAGGTGACATAGTAGCAGATGGAGGCTGTGAGCTATTGGAACGAGAATTGGGAGTACGGGGGGAGCAAGGAGAAGTGACAGTAGCGGAACGTCCTCTAGTCTCCATCGTCGGTGTAAGAAGCCCAGTGCGAGAAGACAAGGAAGATGGGTGGCCTGTTTGTGGGGCACGTCCCGGATCACGAGGAGGCGGTGCCGGCTGGAGGAAAGTCCGAGGCGGCGAAGATGGAGAAGGGGGTCTATTAACAGTAGTCGTCGAACTCCCAAGTGGAGTGCTGGGTGAAGGTGTTTGCTGATAGACGGTTTGGCCAGGAAATCCACTGGAGCCTTGAAAGACAACAGAGTCGCGCTCAGGCTCTCGGCCACGGGGCAATGTAAACTTGGAATAAATGTAAGTAGGAACCGGGCCCTCGGCTTCCCCGGCAAAAACCCCGGGCGTGCTAGCAGGTGTTGGCAGGGATTGCTCGTTCGAGAGCATTGGAGATTGTTCAGGGGACAACCGTTGTGGAATATCAAGGGATGACGGGGGTTGCTCAGAGTCAAAGGAAGGCCGGCTGCTGAGAGGTCGAGAAAAATTAAACGTAGGTTTCTGAAGCAGGGTGCCCCCGGCCGAGTAAACGGAAGGAGCATCGGACCTCAAGGAAGACTGACTCACGGAACGCGTCATGTCATGATTATCTGTTCCACTGTAGGGAACCGAAGGGTTGCGGGTCAAAGGTGCAGAAGGTGGGCCAAATGTAAGTGAGGATTCTGCACCAATCGAGTCGGGGGAGCTTGCTCGAAAATCAGAAATCATGGGGAAGATACTTGGTGGTGCCTGGGCGGGTGACGCTGTCCTAGGGCCAGGGGCAAGTTGGGGAGAGTAAGGTCTGTGTACCGATTCCAAAGAATCCGTCCTCGATGGCCGCTGAAATTCGACATCACCAGAGCCCTGCCGGTAGGGCAGATATCTGGTCACAGAATCATTCGAGCCTTCTCTGCGGGGACTTCGAGGATAAAACCTGCGATCAGAGCCCCTAGAGTCGTTTCGGTGCGGATGCAACCTCTCACCAGAGGCTTGTCTCACAGGAGGTGGAAACTTCCCGGATTCTGCAGAACCTTGTCTAGAGGGTGCGCTATAACCCAAAGGCGAAGACTTAGAATCTTGTCTGTAAGGTATGTATGTTTGGACCGGCTGGCCATGTTGAGCTGGCTGCGCGGGTGGGCCAGGGGGGATCACAACTGTTAAATCTCTCGAATCCTTTCTCGTTGGAAACTGGTGTTCTGCTTCGAGAGGTTGTTTGCCAGGAGGGCGGCGATTACGTAGTGGGGGTTGCGATCTAGATCTAGAATATGCAGACCTATTGTCCTGACCAGCCATGTCACGTTGATCTTGACCCTTCCCCCACTGTCTCTCATCTGGACCACGACGTCCACCATCGGGTCCTGGGGGCCCGCGTTGTTGCCTCTGGCCCGGACTATGTTGCCTTCCATCAGGACCCTTCTGTCTGCCAGCTGGCCCTGGTGGACCCGGCGGTCCGCGCTGTCTTTCCCCCGGACTGCGCTGATTTCCCTCAGGCCCGGACAGTCCGGCGATCCCCAGTGGCCCCAATGGCCCACGTTGTCTATCATCCGGAGCAGGGCGTTGCGCGATTGCTCCCCTAGGCTGATTGTCCACACGAGGACCGCCACGAGCACCAACATCCCCGGGCCCATGCCCCACCCCCTCCGTTTCCCTCCGTTGCCTCTCATCCTTAATATGGCCCACTATCACCGGCTTTAGAGAACTCCTCTCCACATCCTGCTCCCTAACCTCGTGGCGCCCCTGTATCTGTTGCAGATTTGGCGGATCACGAACGGGATCCAAGAATCCACTGATCAACGTGAAATTGCTATCCCTAACACTTGTCGCTCCCGACATAACACTGTCCCTGTCCGACCTACCATCATCTGAAGTCGCTTCAGAAACGGTGCTGAATCGGGGGTAAGAAGACGCAGGCCTGTCTTCAAGAGCCGGTGTAGCGAGCTGACGGTCACCCATGACTTGTAGAATCGGAGCGGTAGCAGTGCTAGTAGCGGTCACGGAGGCATTACCCCACTGTCCCCCCTTCTCCACCTCCGGAGTCCTTCCCACCGAACGGGACCTCGCTAGCGTCCCCAGAGTTCCTGGGTTACTTCCCGCCCGCCTCAGAGAGCGGTGAACGGTCATTGGGTTTAGCCCAGCTGATCCGGCCCTCTCGGACCCCATCTGCCTTTGCAACATTCGTCCCCGATTAATCAGATCATCCAGAGGAGAAACTTGTGGCGTGTACTCGCCAGCGGCGTGGTCGGCCTGGAAACTTGGGGATAGCATGTCTGTAGCTCCCCTGCGTAAAGAGGGACGGCCCTGGAGAGATTGCATTTCGGCGGTATGCAGCCGTTGCTGCTGCAAGGAAGGAGATAGTGCTCAAAAGCGAGTTTGTCGCAGCTCGTGAGCGGGAACCGGACCCAAAGGGAAACGAAGCAGATGAACTAAAGAAAGAAAAATAGAAAATGTATGATACAAGAAAAGAATTGAGCCCCAACGACGGTAGAATGGAATTGTAGCGAGACAAGTTCGAAAGAATGAAAGTCGAAAGTTGCTTTTAGCAGCGAATATTTTGGGGCTGTGTTTAAGGTTTAACGAGCGTGTACGATCCTTGCCAGATCGTTGAAGTTTACAAACAGGAGATATTAGCAGAGCGACCGCATCGCATAACAGACTGAATAGAAGGGGGCTCCGGTGCAGTCGTTTCAAATTCCAGTTGAGAATTGGAGGCGGTCAGGAGCTACAAGCGTGGCCGAAGTTGCAAGGGAGAGCGAGAACAGAGCAGTACGGATAACGGAAGCATCGAAAGACGCGGCAGTCAGGTCAAAGGAGCGTCTCTAACGGTGCCTGCGCCGTGGTTGGAAGGACTGCGTAGGGCTGCTAGGACGAAGAGGAGTGGTGAAGAGAAGAGAAAAAGGGAGAAATGATGAGGGTGGGGCGTAGCGAAAAGAAGGGAGAAGGGAGGTTGAGGGAGAAGTGCTGGAGTACTCGTACGGTACCGGTACAGCACAGTACTAATACGGTAGACTACTCGTGCAGTGCAGTATGATACAAACCGCTTCTACGTGGGGGGATCCGCTACCGTAACTAAGGGTACGGGGTACCAGGGTGCGACTCCTTCAATAGTGGAGCAGACCACTCACTGTAGACTAAGTACCGGTATCAAGCAAGAGTGAACCGACTGGGGCTCGTGTGTGGGAAGCAGACAACCAGCCAGCCAAGTGGTCGGGATACGGGTAGAAGTGTAGGGCAATGTGCCCAAGTGAGACGAAGCACGAGCTGAGTGGTTAGGAGAGCGCGAGAGGAACAGAACGGAGGGAGATGAAGCACCAAACGGGGAGGAGGGAAGGGGAGAAGAAGTCTGAGGGAGGGCAATAGGAGCACCGGTATTGCGCCAGTATGATACTCCTACACCACAGGTACGATGGAGTACCGCAGCAGCTTCCACTAATTACGGTAGCTGGCCGGCGTTCCCCCTCTTCTCCCGCGGGTCAAAGGGTTAGACGCCGTACCGTAGCTGATAGCATGAGCGGTGCAGGGACCTTTCCCCCTCATAGGAGGCAGGAGGTTGTCAATGGGAGTTATTGGCTGGTTGCACTCGGGTATCATACTCGTACTTACGCCCTTTATTACACTTTTGGTCGTGTCCACGGTTCGAACAAGTGCAAACCCCCGATCTTCCGACGTTCCAACTCCATGCATGCTGCAAGCCTGTAACTCACACCTTAAATAATGAGATGAGGAGATCACCGTGGGATCTCCACCAACGCTTCGAACCTCTTCCAGACTCTTGCCACTGATACCCAGCTGAAAAACACTCTTCAATTTTTCACACCACTATCCCCCTCTCCTCCTGGTTGTTCGAGGATGTACTGTACGGTACGAGTACCCGAATACAAATGTATTCTGTACAGCACTCGAGTACCCTTCAGGGGAACAACAAAGCCCAAGACCAGGAAAAGTAAATTAGCGACCGACCTATTCCGCCCCTAACGTATCATTTACCTGATCCAGTGCGCCGGCACACCAAATGGCAAGTGCTGTACCGGTATCGGTATTCGTACATTCCATATCCGGCTGCCTGTTTGGGTTTCTCCTCTAGCACCCCGTTTCAGAGAGAGAAAAGGAACCAGGTCCCCTCCTCGTCCTCCTTTTGACGTCCTCCCCTCGGGCATTCACCACCATCAAACGTGAGAATTTAGCAAGAGTATCGTCACATTTATTTTTAACACTCGTCTTTGCCAAATACCGGCACCGCTATCTCACGATTCCGCCCAGAGATCCATACCGTACTTCAAGAGGAAAGCCCAAACCGCCCCCATCCGAAGCCAATGTTTCACCCTCTGCGGGAGGCTGTCATGTTCTGTAGATCAAGGCCCTAATCCGGCAGGGAAGAAAAGAAAAGAAGAAAAGAATAATAATAAATAAAAAGCCTCCTATTCGAGCCAGGCTATATACAAAAGAGAGAAGTAGAGAAAGGTACGTCAACGTCAACGAGGACTGCAGTGGGCGGAAGTCTTTCCGTTAATTTTGGGTTGATGTTCAGGGGCGTATTGAAGGATTTTGGGCCGCGTTGCATGCATCTTGTGGCGTACGAGAGTGGTTGGGGGTTAAAGCGCCAGTACAATAGACGTCAAAATTGGTGCAGAGATTCAATCAAATTTATTATCCTAGCATCGCCGAACCAGCATACCTAGTCGACCAAAACCAAAAAAAAAAAAAAAATAGAAAAACACTCTCCATTTCCTTCTCTGGAGTGCTTGCGAACCGGATCTGTCCCGTGGTAGTGTGTAATTTCGGAAAATGGCGAACCTCCTCTCATGTACGAGTAATAAAGTATCTGTACGTCAAACTCGACCAATCATATCACAGGGCCCCGAAGAATTCCAGCTACCGTACCCTACCGTACTAGTGCTCGTACAGTACCCGTTTGCAGTTGTCACTTTTGACGAGTAATATGGCTGACTGGGGGACTACGCTCCATGCTTGGACTTGTATCAGATCGCATCACGGGCGCGAGTACCTTGCCATGCTTTGCTTCGGAAAAGGGACTGATCTGATTACAGATCATTGGCCGGCGCTAAAATATTGTAAATATAATATTTGCTTGGGGGATCGATGGAAGCAAAGTACCGGTACCATACTCGTAGTACTAGTAGAGGAGGAGGAGGAGGAGGAGGAAGGGGGGAGCTCGAGGACACAGAGAGGGGTTCATATCATACAAATCCAACCCCTCTGCCCCAAACCCACCGGTATACACCGGGGGGAACGGGCAACCTCCGAATATCTCTACTAAAACAGAATACCGGTACCGTAGGCGCGCAAGGTTCATCAGTTTCAAAAGAAACATGGTACATACGGTATGGAAATTTTTGCCAACTACCCGCCCCTTTTCAGAATATTACCACGTGACAATCAATTCAATCAAACAGGATGGGATTAGGGTTTCGGTTTTTTCATCACACGATAGCAAGTTAGCGGCATCGGACCAGGTCGGTTCGGAGGTCAACCTTTGCTCGACACGACTTACAGGTACGGTAACTCGTCAGATTGGTTTCTTGGATCTTACCGTACCACGTCTCAGGTCCTCGGACAGGTGATAAATACGCTGGGACCTTTGAGTTCGCCTTCTTGGCCCATCGAGGGGAAAAACACGGCAAACTTGGTATTCATACTCGGTCGACCACGGTAACATACTCGAGCACATAGCACCTGCCAAGAGAGGCGACTGCAACGGCCTGGCATATTTACCGGCACATACCCCCCCTCCATTCGGGTTGACTCATCAGTTTAGCTAAACGATTGAATAGGTATTATGCTCGAACTTAATGCGGCAATATGAGAAGAAACTCTACGACTGCTTGAACTGCTTTCTTGGACAAGGAGGCTGGAGTTTCACCCTTCCACTAACTATGGTAGCCGTGCCGGAATCATACTTGCCTAATGGAGGGGGGTTGATGCAGTATCGGTTGGCTACTTGGTGCTAATGATGCACTGGCGGTAGACCTGAACTATATCGTACAAGACCCACAAGTACCGTACTGCTCGAGTAGTACTCGAGTACGTCAGGGGCCTCACAGGGTATAGTACTAGTATTTCAGTACTGGTACAAGAAAATGTTGAAGAGAGAAGGGCCCTCTCGCATCAATACCGGTATCTTTTTTGTCCATGGCGTGAGATTCCATGAGTCCTAGGATACGATACCGTAAGTTATCGGTTGTCTTCCGGGTGGCAGGCTCACAAGAGGCATGGGTGTCTCACAGGCAAGAGAGCTGGAGTGGAGAACACTGGCATCTATGGATAGGAAAGCTTGTCCCTATTTGCTCACTACTCACATTTAGTCCGGGGTACCAGTAGTGCAGGAAAAGTACTAGTACAATATTGTAAATCGCTAGAAATCCACCATCTCCGTCAACCCATGGGGAAAGAGGAGAAATTTTTGAGTCGCACCCATCATTGTTAAGATACAAGCTTGTTTTTTTTGTTTTTTTTGTCCAAGTTTGTTAATTCCTCTGACTGTTTAAAGGCACAATCCCCAATAAAGTTCCTCCATTGTCCTGTAAATAATCATGACTATAATTGAAAGGCATGGATGAAGTGGTCCCTTCCTTATACTGGAAAATTAATATAATCTAAGAAAATAAAAATCAACAAATGTTATCAACCTGGTTCCCCTTGTCTCAGACTAAAAAACTAATGAATCAAGTCTTCTCTAAAGTCCCTGGCCTGCCATGTAACTCTTATTACCCTTTATCTGGTATCCTACTACCACTAGTACTAGAAACTTCAACTTGATTATGTACTAGCAGTTCCAATGAGAGTACCGCAGTCGTCCTCACTTGTAGTAATCAGGATATGGTCTTCCATACCGGTATCGGGGGTTATACGCTTCTTGATAGACCCTCATAATCCTATTTTGATACTAACACTCAGACTTCTTGTCATTTTCTTTACGATATAAGTATCAATACAGATGCAGGGTTTCATATATCAGAATAGCTCAATCATCAAAGCCCAGATAAGCAATTGCGACAAACCTGCCCTGCCCAACCGGAGATAGTCACGGTACTGAGCTATTGTTGGACCCGGAGAGTTCCAAACCTTGGGTCTAGTCCCCAGTTGTCTGTTGAAGACCTTCCGTCCGGTAACCGATGGTATATCATACATACAGAATGGATCCTTATGTGGGGAGAGGGTTCTGGGACACGAGTTGGTAACCGAATTTTGTTAATTGCGCTACAGTACTACATACTCACACTTTAAACTGTAGCTAATATTAGGTATCGACATATGGTCTTATTGCAGGTATACTAAATTACTATACCGTATCCGCGTGAATCGCCGCCGAAGCGTAGACTACTGCGAACTCGAACACAGAAGGAGCATCATACCTTAGTCAGCTCAGCTTGGAACGCTGACCGGGGCCGCACGATGTTCCACTTGTTCACCATCCGGGGGATGCCGGGGATGCAGGCAAGAGAACACGCCCATCTAAGCAGTCTACTCGAGTACAAGCAGTAAACCAGTAAAGTACCGGTATACCAGGAGTGCCACACTCGAGCAGCTATCCAAGTTGCTGCCCCTCGGCCAAGTTTATCTCCACGAGCGACTTGGCAACATCGATTCAAAGTACCGGCATCGGCTCGCTGGCCGGTGGAGGGTGGAAGTGCATTTTCGCAACTGGTATTTCCTTCTCACCGTAGGCTAGACGGGTACCGGTATTTTGAAATCGGGTCCCTCCATCCCAAGCAATGGCGGGCAATGGATCACATTTGCTCTGTTCTCTATCGGCCGTGAGCTGAGGATGTTGCGTTGGTGGCTTGAGACGCTCAGCCCAATAAGTACTCGTACAAGTAAACTACACTTTGCTGTTTTCATCTCCCGAGCATCAACTCACTTCCACCTGTCCCTTCAGCCCTTCCATATAGTACGAGTACAATACCTTGCTCCCGCCCCATCCTCCAGTGCCGGCTCAGACTCAGCTACCGTACTTACACCCAGCGCTCGGGGAGGCGGATCTATGATATCTTAAAATCTCTCATTTCACCATCTTCCCCACATTCCGTTCTTTCTTTCATCCCATCCTCTCCCTAGCAACAGACGGGCCCGCCGACCGACCGGTCTCTCCCAAGCTTTCAGGTCTCAGGTTATCGTCACTCAACCCCAGCCCGATTGAGGGGAAAGCCCTGCGACCGCTACCACGATGAAGCTCCTCGGCGTGGGCTCCCCCTTCGATCCAACGAACCGCTTCCAAACATCCGGCATTCTTCCCCCGGTCGTGCTCGGCTGCACCCGGCTGGTGATCGCGTGCTACATCTTCGCCGCGCTGTTTTACCGCATCGCTCGCTCCTCCGTGATCGATGGGTCGAAGTCGACGCGGGATAGCTTTTCGTACTTTACGAACTTGACGTACTGGGGGCTTGGCTGCTACTTTGCTGTCGCATCGGCGCACACGCTCGCCTATGCCTTTCGTGGGAGGGCTCCGTTGGAGAAATGGCCAAAGGTGTTGCAGTTTTTGCACAGTCTACTCTATACCACTGTTATCACATTCCCGTTTTTGGTGTGAGTATTGGCTCTATTGTTATTGCTTTCGGTTACCATCTGCATGTGGAATAGGGAATGATGGGTGGATGGGGGTGGATGGGGGCAGGAGTACCCGTGCAGGGAGGAGAGTGTGGGGGGATCGGAAAAAAAAAAAAAAGAAGCACGCTAAGCAATACGTTCTGTGGTTTTAGAACCGTGGTGTACTGGATCATCCTGGCACCGGATGAAAGCCCATTCGATACTAGATATTCAGCATGGAGCAACGTATGATAATCCCCCCTCCCCCTCCTCCCCCACCAGCCAACCAAACTAACCTCCGCCCAGATATCCTTCCACGCCCTAAACTCAGTCTTCGCCATCTTCGAAGTCCTCATCCCCCGCACCGAGCGCCCGCCATGGCTGCACATCCCCTTCCTACTCCTGATCCTAGCGGGATACCTAGGCGTCGCCTACATTACCAAGGCAACCAAGGGCTTCTACACATATTCCTTCCTTGATCCGGGCGAGAAGGGTTCCGGCACGGTCGCCGCGTATGTCTTTGGAATTGTCGTGGCTATCTGTGTGGTGTTTGGGATCATCTGGCTGATAATTTGGCTGAGGCTGTTCTTGTGCGAGACGGTGTTCGGTATGAAGGGGGAGTTCTCGAGTAGGTCACGGGGTGGAAGAGGTGATGGAGAGAAGGGCGAGCATGAGATGTTGGCGGCGAAGGAGCTTCCTTGAGGCTATCCTCTCTTCGTTTCCGTTTGTTCAGGAGGAAAAGAGGGGATTCGAGTGTTGATTTTGGTTATGTATTTGTAGTAATGTTGAATGGGTCGTGCTTTCTTTCACCCCCCCCCCCTGATTTGGTTGTTTGTTTATTTCATGTAACCTGGAGAAAACTGTTTAAAGAGATAGAGAGGGGAGGGGGAGACTTGAACCTGAGCACTAAATTATACATAAATAAACTACATTACTACTGTACTCTGCTGTATCTTTTTTTTTTTCCCGCCCTTCCGTCATTGTATTGTACTTTGATACTCTGATAACCTGTCTGTGCTCCCCTTCTGACGATCACACCAACGCCCAACACTGACGCACAAGATCTCACTCGCTTCCCTACAACCCTCCGATACCTCTTCTCATAGCGCCTCCACCGCGCCCCACCAGACAAACTTGACGCAATCCACAACCCGGTATGGATCCAGTTATGACACCACATTGCAGTACGCCAGTCAGTCAATCAACGTTAGAACCACACCCACATATTACCAACGTTTTTTTCCCCTCTCTTCCCTTCCTTCCTCCCTTCCTTCCCGCCTGTTATTCTTATTCCTGGCGGGGACGGTGCGATGTAACTTGGCGCTGTATCCTATCTGCGGATTTGGACTTTGTACCGCTGGGAAGTGAGTCCAGGGATTCCCGAGGGGTATGTGACGTACAGTAATAGACTGGTGTTATATCATACTCGTACTGGGTGTATGGTTGAAGTTTGGTTGTGGGGTCATATCATAGGGGTCTTTGCTCTGGGATCCGTCGCCCCTGGGTGTATTGCGGTGTATTGATCGGGTGAGGATATGTGGTTCTTGGGGGGGTTCTGGAGTTTGGGAGCGGGGTGATTGGTGCTGTGGGTCTGGATTTTTTTTTAAAAATTTTCTCAGTAATCACGCTTTGAGATATCGGTGTTTTAATTATTATTATTATTATTACCATTACTTTTATAGATCTCTGTAAATGTTAGTCTGGAGAGTGGAGTTTGAGCTCGCTGATATTAAAAATGTGGAGTTGGAGAAAAGGAAAGAAAACCGGGTTCGAAAAGAATAAAAAAAAAAAAGAAAAGAAAGATAAAAAATGTGTATAATTCAATCCGACCACAAGCCCCGGCTTACTGCCGTGAGTTACTTAGACCATATTGGCGGTGTTCTCCCCGGCATCCCACAAGCACTCATCCGCGTCCCTACCATCTGCGGTCCCGTCATCCCACAAAAGCCCAACAAATCTCCCCACCCTTGCTGCTCCGTCTGCACAAACAACCCCCAATCCACCTCTTACACCTCTGACAACCTCCAACTCCCCATCACCATCACCAACCTCGATTCCTTCCAAATCCCCGGCGGCGAAGTAAACCGCATCGGTCCTTCTTCCAAGCTCCATCCGGAACTCCTCAGCCCATTTCAAGCTTTTGGAAATCATCTCGGAGACCTTCTTCATCTGGTCCAATTCCTCATCGTTATTACCATGCTCGGCGTTGTTGGTGCTGTGGCTGTTCGGGCGAATGTCATCAAGACGAAGGCGTAGGAGTGCTACATTTGCACGCTCGTATTGCTGTTTCAGCGACCAGAGGTCTTCCGCGGCGTTCTCAATCGTGCTAAGGATGTTTAGAGTTGTTTGCTGGGTCACGGGGAGGAGGGTGGTGAGCGTGGTTTGGATGTTGTAGAGGGTGTTTTCGTGATGGGCCATTTCGAGCTCTAGAGTTGTGAATGTATCAGAAAGGGCTGAGAATGGGGTTGGCGAGTCGGGAGTGGCGGTTGGGGATTCGGCAGTGGTGGCATCGATAGTGGTTGGTGGGGTTGCCAGCTGTGGTGGGGCAGCACCCGTAGTGGTGGAAAACTGCTGGTCCTGCATGTTTGCGGTGGCTCCCTTTTGTCGACGCAAGGGGGTTTGTGTTTGCGTTGCGTTTTGTTTTGTGTTGGTATGTTTTTGGCTGCTATTGGAAGGTGGTGGTGGAGGAGGGAGGCTAGGGAGGCGACATGGGAGGTCCAGCAGATATAAAATAGAAGGGGCTGGTGTTGAGATGCTAAAGGGGAGTTTCGTATGCGGAGCTGTGGTTTGCCTATGCGGTTGAGGGTATTTCACGAAGGGCGGAGGACAGAGTGATTGTTTGTGAAGATACCCTTTGGCGGAGTGCGATGGTATTGGAACTGCCACATCTATGATAGGGCGGAGGATATTTTGGGGCAAAGCTTTCTCGTGCCCTTGGACCCGCTGTATCCCCTCTACCGGCTCCTGAGCGTCCATAACACAATTTACATCGTGATATCATGCAATATGTCCAGTATCGTACCAGTGGCATCTCAATTTCTCTGGGTCATGTCAGAGCTTGGAAGGGCCCCTCCACCACCACCCCTTCTCTTTACTCTCGGCGCGAAAGTGTTTTTGCAAGCCCTTATCCAATTGTCAACTTCTTGTTCTCTCTCTCATGTCAAACTTGGAATTCTATTCCCCACAAGCCATGCTCAAGCAACTAGCGAAGCCGACGGAAAGCCTGCGCGGGCCCGTACCCCTCGGAGAAACTACAGCAGGGCAATCGATTGTGCCAAATCTGGCCACTCTAGATCCACATACTTGTACCGGTAGCCAAAACCCGGAACCTTGCACAGTCAAATCACACCATGTCGTACAGATTCGTCGTCCCATTCGTGTATGGTACTTGACGTGGGGCCTTTTTTTGGCGAGAAATTAGGGCTTCGGTGAGATAACTCCCTGCTCTCGACAAGCATGACTGATCCATCCTCCAAAACATACCCTAGCCCAATAATAACGAAGTCTATGACAGCCCATCCCCGTTCAGCGCTTCCCGAAAGCAACGGCCCCTCTTGTTGCGCGGTTGGGGTTGCGTGCAGAGAGTCTTGAATCCTCTGATACCTGCACGTTTCCGTTCCACACGCAAATTGCCCTTGCCTTTGCGTGAGCCTGATTGGGGGGGGGGAATAGCGGTATCTGTTTGGCATTACTCGGGTTTCATTGGACCTGAGGGGAGGTGGGGAGGTGTACCGGTATGCGGCGCGTCGGGTTAGGGTACGGACAGGTGTCCGGTTGTGACCCGGACCCATTTTTTTCTCACTTGGCATGTGATCTTGATCCCATATACGAGGGCTATGCAATGAGTGCAGTGAGTGGGTGGGCGGAGCTTATGTTGAATTTACTGGATAAGCTCGAAGGGCACAAGAGCCGGGTGGGTCGCATGTAGGTGATTCTGGAATGCGTTGTACCGGTATGCGTGGAAGAGGAGGAGAGGCGGAAGTGGAGGAGAGTGGATATTTCGTGCTTTGTTGTCTCTGGTCTTAACGTGAGCATTTATGGCTTGGTATGTTGTTAGTGTAGGGAACAGGGAACATATATATACATGGTGCACTGTACTCCAGTAGGTGCAATGGGCATTTGACGGGGGCCAGTCTGCCGCTTACTTCTTTATGATTCGCGGGAAAATGTTATCACGGGGAATGCAGGGAAGGAGCCCCAAAGGACTTGATCCTGAGATTTTCGCCGGTTCGACGTTTTTACCATCTCTACGTAGTATCGTACAATTAGATATGAACGCCGCCGCCTCATACATACCGGTAAACCATCTACGGTACAAACCCCACACGCCCCCATCTCCGCACAAGCTCGCATATTCCGTCCCCGGGCAACGTGCTCGTGCTCCCCTCTCGCCTTCTTCCGATGACCTGTGGATATGATACCTCTCCCTCTCCCATGCTTTCTCATGTCAAACGAGCAAACGGAAAAGGAGAAACGCAAACTACACATTCACGGGCGTGTCTTCATCCATCAGGCATGTGATGCATTCAATGGGCCCCCCATATGGTCGAACCGTCTCGCAGAGCATAGACAAACCTTCCAATATCAATGCCTATGATCCACCCTCTAAGGGCCTCCTCAAGCATAACCGGGGAAAACCACTGTCCACTACAAATCACGCACAATCACTCGAACCTGACCAGGTAGCGGACCAGGTGCTCACCTGCCTAAAAACCCTGTATTTGGTATGCTCCTTCCGGTAAGTGAGACACACATACCGGTGCGGGCAAGTGGAGTGGGGCAAGGGAGGCACCATTAGCTTTTTTTTCTTCTTTTCTTTTTCTTCCCATCGAATCTATTTGGCGTTCCTGCAGTCGGGTGGGGTGCACTAGCCTTACAGTACGCAGAGGAGGACCCAAAAATTAATAGGGCCCGTCGGATCGGTATGAACGTCATTTTATTTTATTTTTTTCCCTTCCTTCCCTTCCACGTTGGACCGGCCGTGCATCCACTTTAGATTGCATCGATTGAGGAGGGTGGGTCTGTAGGACGTTGCGATGACTGAGTTTGGTGGTAGGCATATAAAATCTGCCACTTGCCCTGGGACTCCTCCTAGCCGGTGTTTCCTTTACACCGGCCGGAGCACGACGGAGGGTCGATTCGTGATAGACCTCATTAGAGTTTCTCTTTACAATTATTTTTTTGGCCATGTCGCTGTTACAGTGCCCGAATGAAGTACTCCTATTGATTACACAGGACTTGCCGGCTGCTTCTTTGAGCGCCTTCGCCCGGGCGAGCCGGTTATTCTTCAACTTGGCTCGGGAATTGCTATTGCGGCATGCTTGCAGTGAGAGGCATGCCGTTTTGGCACTATCTCTAGCAGCAGCCAACAGAGATGAGGGGGCGGTGCGGTATCTATTGGAGAATGGCCGGGGTTTTAGTATTCGGGAGGAGGATGGGAGCCCTCTCTACGGGCCTTTGAATAGGTATTATATTAAAATATATATCTCCCGCACCAGGAGCATCCCAACGCGTTCAACTTCAGATCACTGACTGTACCGTCACGGCAGTTTAATAGCCTACATTCTACAAAAAGGCCCCAACCTAATAATAAATCACAACCTCACCTACACCTGCGCCACAACCCCTCACCACGCCATCATCAGTGGGAACACAACCCTCCTTAAAACCCTTCTCTCAAAGGGTGCTAACGCCAACCTGAAAGACTCCCTCCATGGCTGGACTTCATTGCACCAAGCCGTGCACTCGGAAAACTACCCCGCCATCGAAACCCTCTTGGAAAACACACCACTGACCCTTAACTCCCGTAGCTCGTTCGGCGAAACAACCCTACACATTGCCGCTACGCTCCGCTCCCCGAGAATGTGCCAGTTCCTACTATCTCACAACGCCGACCCGACCCTCCGAGACTTTTCCGGAAGCACTGCGTTAGCGTTGTCCGTGTCTTGGAATAACCTTCCCACAATCAAACTCCTCCTAAACCACAGCCCCACCACCAACACCGTAGCCGGCTGCGGCGGTGGAAAGGGTATGATCAACGTGCAGGACCATAACGGTCGCACACCACTCCACCTTTCCGCGATCCACTACACAACGCCCGAAATCCCGCATCTCCTCCTCTCCGCAGGTGCGGACCCAAATATCCGCACCCAAGCGGGAGAAACACCACTGCACTACGCCGCTACATACACGAGACCAGAATTGGTCGACTTGTTGCTCAGGCGCTCACCCGGAATAGCCGTAAATTCCAGGGATAACACAGGCAGTACGCCACTGCATTGGGCTACACGCTCTGGCCGCGCGGGCGTTGTCAGGCTGCTGAAGAACGCTGGGGCGGACACGGGGTTGGTCGGCAGGTGTGGGGGCTGGGTGGGCCGTAGTGGCCGTAGTGATCGGGTGGGGAAGAGGAATGGTGGCCGTGGTATTTCCTGGGGATAATCAAGTGTGGGTAGGTGGGTCCGCGGAACAGGGTGTGTTCACAGGATCTCACTCGTTCTATGTGGGTCCTGACATGTGCGTAAGTGGGGGGGTTAGGAAATCGGGTGTGGGTGGGTGGGGCCGCTTGTCGCGGTTGGGATGTACGTGGCATGGTTGTGTACTAACATACGGTATCGTACACTTTGAAGGCGGGGGGGGATGAAAGGTGGAGGTGGAGGTGGAAGTGGAGTCTGGTGGGGCATGAAATATGTATGATACCAGTTGCCTAGCAGCAGCGTATTATTGTTCAACAAAGGTGGAGCGTTCTTTTTTTTTTTTTTTTTTTTTTTTTCCGCGCCTGGTGGGGAGTGGGTCCGGGGAGGTGCCGGTATTATGATTGGTGGTGAGTATTCTGGCACCGGCTATGATCAATGTGATTCGACAGCAACTGGCCGGGATCAGAAAATCCGTTCCGGGGTATAGGCGCCAGTGGCAAATGGCAGCACGGCAATTGCTCGTACTTGTACCATCCTCTGGCAGCCTCGACGATCGGAGAATTACCTTGACAACTACCGCCCACGAATCAAATGCCAGTATCCCCAGCAGCTTACCCTACCCGTACGGTTACTCGTACTGCACTCGCACAAGGAAAGTATAATAGTACGGCGGTGCCGAGCGGGCCACGAGAAGCATGACAATTTACGCACACACCTCACCACGAGTTCCGGTAAAAGTGTGTTACGAGCATGATGCCCGTCCCCTACAAGTGCAAGTAGGAGCGGCAGCCGTAAGCGCAACACCGCAGATAAAGCACAGACATGATTCTTGACGGACGAGCGAGTGAGTGGGCGGGGTCGTGGTAGTCTATATACAGCCTAACTTAGTACTGTACCGTACGGTACTGTACCAGGTAATGTACTGTACTAGTGCTGTAGCTAGACGGGAGGCGTCGGATGTGGAGAATATCGGGAGTGCCTACCGGTATTTGTTGTGCTTTTTATTTTTTTATTTTTCGGTCTAGACCTTTGGTTTTGGTTTGTCTTGGGTGGGGGAACTTGTGGTGGATTCTTGCGTTTTGGTTGATAGGTATACGCTGCCGTATCACACTATCATAACTTGAGGCCTGTGATATTATGACTCTGTACTTCGTACGAGTGCTGTCCTGTATTATACTGTGCTAAAAGTCAGGGTTGTTCCCAGTTGGACTACAGGTAAGTGTCCGCAAGCTTTATTTTTTTATTTTTATTTTTATTTTTGTTTTTGTTTTTACCGTCGCATGTACTCGAGTATAACACGACAGCGAGTATTGTGTTGTGTCAGGGCTCGTATCAAGGGCAGAACAGAAAAAAGAGGCGAAGAAAAAAAGAAAAAGAAAAACGTTTGAAACATCCGCCACCGAAAATTCATGTTTCAACTATCCTCTCTATAATGCACGAAAAAAAGGCTACCCGCTGGCCCCGGAAACCCTCCTAGTCTCCTCGAAAAACCACTTCAAATCGTCCGGGTCGACAGACGGCGTGATGCCGTGACCAAGATTGACGATCCAACCTTTCCTCCCACTGCCAAAGCCCTTGGCGATCCTCTCGACGGCCCGGGTGATTGCTTCGCGGCCACCATATAAAACGTTGGGGTCCATATTCCCCTGCAGCGTGACACGGCCGTTGGCGATGGCGACGGCACTTTCAGGATCGTGCGTCCAGTCGAGGCCGACGACCTGGTACCCGGACTCGCACAGTTCTTCGAGAGCGTACCAAGCGCCCTTGGCGAAGATAGTCATGGGGACGGGCTCGCCTCCGAGTTCCCTGACGCGCACCGGCACGCGCGCGGATATCCGACGGATGTACGGGAGTGCGAACGTGCGGAAGTCGTGCGGCGATAACTCGCCGGCCCAGGAGTCAAAGACCTGCAGCATCTGCGCTCCCGCGAGGACCTGGTTCGCCAAGAATTCCACGCAGACGTCCGTGATCCTGGCCAGCAGGGAATGCGAAGTGGAGGGGTGTTTGAAAATCCAGGTCTTGACGAACGTGAACGTTTTACTGCCCCCGCCCTCGACCATGTAACTCATGAGGGTCCAGGGCGCGCCGACGAAGCCGATCAGCGGGACACGTCCCGCCAGTTTTCGCCGTGTCAGGCGGATGGCGTCGAAGACGTAGCCGAGTTCTGCACGAACGTCAACCTCCGACTTGAGCTGTGAGAGGTCTTCCGGCTTCCGCAGTGGATTCGGGAAGTGTGGCCCCTTCGCCTCCAGCATTTCCACTGTCATCCCCATCGCCTGCGGGATCACGAGGATGTCTGAGAAGATTATGGCCGCGTCGATCAGGTTTGCGTAGCGGAGGATTGGTTGTAAGGTTATTGTGCTTGCAAGCTCCGGGTCGCGGCATACCGAGAAGAAGTCGCGACCTCCTTTCGCCTGATTGTATTCTGGGAGGTAGCGGCCGGCTGGGCTACGTTAGTCGGGGTTTGGGAGGAGGGAGGAGGGAGGACCTTGACGCATTACCCACATTGGGGGCCGTTCGACGGTTTCGCCTGTTCAGCATTGGTTATTCTTCCCCAGGACTTTGTATGGTAGAATTGGAAGGACTTACCTCTAGCGGCCCGAAGAATAAGGTCATTGCTCAATGGCTCGAAAGTTTCGGTCATCTTCGCTGTGGTGTGTATCTTGTGTAAGCGGTGGTGGTGGTGTTGGTGGCTGCTTAGGAGAAGACGGTGCGATGAAGTACTCGTAGACTATGTACGGCGGGGGCAGGACTGGGGGCGGGGTGAAAATCACATTCATCATGCCCGTAATAATAATAATAAAAAGTGCAGGGCTGCCCACGTTGTTATTGCCGGGCATCTCGGTAGATCCCAGTAGATCAGGTCAGCAAATCTCATTCAATGCGCCTCCTTCTTGGCTATCACGAGTACTGTGCAGTACCGGAAGACCATCTAAAAAGCTGCTGACTGCTATGCATAAAATATCGGAATCTGAAGAGGCTCTCTCCACGGTCCACGGTATTTCCTCACAGTCCGGTATCATATTGTACGTTGACAAAATTACCCGAACAGCAACGAACACTAATAGTTTTACCATAATGACAACCAAAATAAATAAATGCATAGCAGTAATCAGTAGTTAGTACCGGTATATCATCCATCAGCCTTAATAGTTGCCTTTATCCTACTGTATGTGGAGAGAAGTGGTTGTAAGGGGCCGTCCGGGAGCGATGGTTGTCACACTCACTGGGGTGTTCGGTTAATTTTGTCCACGCACAATATTCAATCCTAAGTCTATCAGAGCAATGCCACTGCATCCTCTGAAGGGAAAAGGAGAAAGAGAGAAAAAGCCTTGTATCCTTCATCTACTTTTCCTCCTTCCTCACCATTTCCCCTTCCCCTACAAGTGAGAAAAAAATATAAAAAAAGGAAAACTCAGAACCGCTATGATATGATATGCTACAGAAGAAAGAAAAACCTACTTCACAAATGTTTGCAACAGGCCCTTTAAAGCATTTCCTACGTACCGCCCCTAGATTCATCAAATTAAACACTGCCTACCAGTATTGAGCCACCTAAGAGTGAAAGAGGGGGAAAAAAAAAGTAGTACCATGAAAGAGCAAAAAAAGTTACAAGAAATGTTGAACCCGGGGGGATCCGTAACAAAACACACGTACCACCCTCCACGGACCCATAAGGTGTGATGATGAACTGGCGTGTTGATTTGAAGAAGTGTAATGTTAGAAGAGAGAAATAACGAGAAAAGAAATGGAAACAAACTCCCAATGATATTCTCAGTGAAAAAGAATAATGCATGAATGGCTAAAAAGACAGCAATCACGAACACTCATCGAGCAAGACAGTAGTAGCCCCATCGGAAAACTCAGAAATCAGTATCGAGGGGGCAATCAAAGCTTTCGTGACCGTCTCTCTCGCACAAAGCACACCACTTGTTCATATCAATGATACCAGTTTCCTTTCCAGCCATAGGTCCAAAGCTACCGTCTACCATTGGTGGTGGAGGGGGGAGATGAACACTCTTCTTCTTTTCCGAAATAGCGCTCTTAAAGTCCGCATCATCATCTGTCGAGGATTCAGGGAATGCAGAGCCAGAGCTAGCACCTCGCTCCATGATCGGCGATGTTACGTACGGGGACTTTTCGTCCCCATCAGCTTCCTCAGCAGCAGCGGCAGCAGCGGTCTTCTCGCCCTCTGGCCCAGCAGATGCCGGGCCTCCAGCTGCGGAACCGAACATGTTGGTACATGTGAGGATGTCGTGACCTGCAGTCTCACAGATCTCGCACCAGAGGACGCTGCCGTCAGCAGACTCAGAATCCTCAGCAGTGGTGGGAGTAAGGCCGCCACTGCTAGTCATACTGAGATCGTCGGCGAGCAATGACGACTCGACCGGAGGAGCAGGTTGTTGCAACAAAGAGGATGCTGCAGAGGATGTCGGCTGGTGCTTGCTTCTCCAGCTTCCTGTAGTTGTCCGGGAGTCTCTACCACTATCCCTCCGCTCCCGTCCAGCCCAACCTGTGACAGTTTTCTCAGAGTTATTAGTGATGGTGCTACGGGTTTCCTTGCGCCTCTTGAGAAGCTCGATCTCTTTCTCAAGTTCCTCCTCTCTAGCAGCACGTCTTTCAATCAATGACCCCAAGTCCCCAACCTCCTTCTCCAACTTCTCTCGAGACATGCGCTCCATGGCCAACTCCCCCACCTCTCCATTGCTCCCCAACTTCCTTGCCGCACCGACTCCGTCAAGATGTGGGTGACCACCATTCGTACCATCATCGGCGGATATCGTATCCCGGCTCAGAGAGTGAATAATGGCCTTCAAACCCCTGATCTCATCGTCCCTCTTCTCAACCTCATCGTTATTGGAGGTACTGCGCATCATCTTCCCAACGGCAGCGTTTGCCACGGCAGCAGCATTCTTTTCTTTCTCCCTCCGGAGCTCTTCTCTACTCCTCTCCACTTCCCCTCTCAGGAATTCCACCTCCCCTCGAGCTTCCGCCTCTCCCCTCCTGGCATCCTCTAACCCCTCTTCTAGCTCCGCGACCAGCTCTTCTAATTGCTTCAACTGGCGTGCCACACTCTCTACATCATCATTTCTATCCTGTAGCTCCCGAATCTCTGCCGTAAGGTCATCAACCCGTTTCTCGTATACCCTCTCTGTCTCCGTACTAGCGAGCTCCAGGGTATCAATAGTCGACCTAAAGTCTGCTCTATGCGCATCAAATTCTGCTGTAAGAAGCTGAATTTTTTCATTCTTTTCCCGAAGCAAAGCCCTCAACTGAATAGCATCCGCATCCTCAAAAGAGCCAGACCTGGTAGGGATAGTCGGGGAAGCAAAATGTGACATCTGCGGAGAGGAGGCATTCTGAACGAGAGATTGCAACTCCGTGAATGACGCTTCCATCTCCAGTAATGCTGCCGCTTGCTCCTTTAACTGTTCATCCTTCTCCGCTAGCTTAGATTCTAGTACCGAGGTGGCCACTGAATTATCTAAATCATCCACCCTGCTCATGCCAATCCCCGAGTCTATTGGCGACGTCTCATGGTGCTCCTCCATATGGCGATCGAGGGAGCTAATGCTTCTCATACCCATTGAGCTCCCCGCCCTCATCATCTGACTCAACCCCATAGTGTTCTTGGGTTGTTTCGACCCCAACGAATATGGAGCACGCGCGGTAGGTGTTTGTGCAAGCCTTAGTGGTGGGGCACCACCCCCCGATGTGCCCGGCCTTCCGTCCGCCGTTGAAGCAATACTGCTAGCTCTTGCTCGGCCACTATAACCTAATTTCCCCGGTGTAGGACTAGGAGCGCCAAATCGACCACCAGCAGCTGAAGAAACATTTCGTGGGGTTACTGGCGGATGCAAGCCAGGTCTTGAACCAGGGCCGGGGGTCCCTCTTCGCATAGGACTCTCAGGTCTTGGTAATGACGGTCGAGTAGTTGGAGCCTTCCCAATTCCATTCGCGAAGCGATGTGCAGGAGATTCCGGGCGATTTCTTGAAGGTGTCGGAGGTGTTAACTGTGTGGGTCCTGTGGGCGAAGGGAGGCTCAAAAGTGTAGGTGTTGGTGGAGGATTTGAGGATGAGGCCGAATGCCGTTTCGTTGCTCGTGCTAGCGGAACGAAGATACCGGAGTTTGGCTGAGCAGTAGTAAAGTAGCGAACTCTATCGTTCTCGTAGATTGTGTTAGTAGATCCCATAGACGACCTTGACCACTTCATAGTTGCAGCAAGAAAAAAAAGAAAAAAAAGAAAAAAAAGGGAAAGAGCTTAGAAACGAATTGCCCGAGCAAAGGATGATCCGACAGTTGAAACAAGACAACGGGAACAAGCACCGGACAAAAGGTGGCCAGAGTGCATACCCCCCACGGTGCTTGGAAATAAATTTCAATTCAGAGCCTCGCCGCCCATAACAAACAGGAAAACAAACAAAGAAGAAGGAAACGAAGGGAAGCACCCACCCATCGACTGCGCCATCATTCTTGCCTCTTCCAGACATGTCTGGATCCAGCTCCACTCCAACAAATATTCCCGCCTTTCCTCTAACATTCCCGATAAATTTGACAGTTCCGTGCATTCCACCAGGAGTATTGACAGCGTCACCGACCTCGACGTCAGCTCCGATGGGGGTTGATCGACCCCGATAGTCATCCCGGGTAGATCTCGTAGGACTCCCTAATCCATAGCCCACCGTACCGTCAGGGATAGATGCCAGCGAGTTCTGGGTGAGTTGGTTGAGGGAGGCTTTTCGGGCCAGCATTGTACTTGGTGAGAGGAGGGGGGATTTTTCAAGCGAGGGTAGGTTATGTGGAATTGTCGCTTCTCTATTGCTGTTGGAGTTGCCGTTTGAAAAGCTGCTGTTTGAAAAGGCGGGAGTGTTCGCGAGAGATGGGCGGGGACGAGCTAGACCAAGGCGTTTCAAGGGAGTCGATGGAGTAGTCATCTTCCTTCTGTTTATACCGCCTGTCCTACAGGGATGGTAGGGTGGTAGGGTAGGCCTATTCCTAACTCCAGAACCTAGCTCTCTCTTCCCCTATGCTTAATTTTTCCCAAATTCTTTTTTTTCCCAAACTTCCTTAATTCGGACAAGGAATCAGGAGGCAGATGGATATGATTGGTCGATGACAAGATGGATGGATGCAACTCCTCGCTACCTATCCAGTTGAATTTGGACTTTGGACGCTGGAGTGGACGGAGAGAATCCTAGAACGAGCGAAAGTCTCAGCAGAAGGGGGGGATTTCGTGTGCTTGTGCAGTGCCTACCTGAAATTCCTTGAGCGCCAGACGACCAGAACCGGACGGGGGAAAGCAAAGAGGAAAAGTGTGGTCGAGTTGACTCGGTGCGACTGTCGAATCGATTGGAGTAGAATGTTCGTGAAGCTCTCTCCGCCTTACTCCTCCCTTCCGACCCCCTTTCTCTTCCGGACTCTTTTTCTCTCCCCGTTCGTAAATATTGTCTACTCGGGCACCTACAGATACTCCCGAGGAAGCGAACCACACGTTTCGCTCACCCCCGTAGACAAGGAAAGGGGCCACGAAATTGCACCCAGTGTGTGTACCGGCCTTTTACTCAGTACGGCCCTATGCACGATCAAGCCGATACGTGCAGTATGTGGAGCAGCAACAGCGGGAGTGATGTTCCCGGTATCTCTCCTACAGCACGACGCTGTACCCTGTGTGAACGAGGGTGATGAGTGCTGTAGGAAGGGGATGGGATGGGATAGGATGGGATAACGGGGGTGTTCAGGAAGCTCGCGATGCTCGTGGGAAGGTTGGGATCAGGAGCAGGAGCAAGCTTGTTTGTTGCCCTCCCGGCTTTTTGTTCTTTGTCCGTTAGAGGGCCCCAGCGTCATCGCTCGTTTCCCTCGTCTTTCTCAGTCCGCTTCCGTTCCCCTTGCCCCTGCAGGAAGAGAAATCCAATCTATCATATCATAGTAATCATACCGTATGATAGAGCAAGCAGGACGAAAAAAATCCTTCCCCAAATATTCCGAAAGAAGACCCCCTTCTACCGCCAAATAGTCTATAGCATCGTATGTTTTACCGGTAAATATTTTTATTTAATCAAAAAAAAAATTAAAAAAATTAAACGAAACGTGTGCACCTGCGGTACCGGTACCGGTACCGTATCACAAACTATCATACCGCTATCGTCGGGAGTCCCTGTCTTTGATGTTTTCCACAGGTATGCACGGACCCTCTCGCGGCTCAACACTTCAACAAACAGAAGGTCCGTCAACGGTACCAGTACCAGTACAGTACTACGGTATTAGTAGCACCAGCATGATACATTCGGTACGGCAGTCTACCGTACGATACGATATCCAGGCCTCTCTCCCCTCTACAGCACCAAAATGGGAGGGCCACCGCGTTCCGGGGCCGCATTCTGTGTGCGAGTACTGTACGAGTACTGTACCTGCAGTACCACACACTCTTCTTCCCTGCATTCAGCGATAGGGATGCATGGAACCCGCATCCTTCTCCCCTCCCCTCCCCTCCCAAAACCGCCAGTACCGTAACCGGTATGATAGCTTGCTCTCCGGAAACATGGCCTCGAGTGGGGGGGGGGGGGGGTGATAACAGTCCGCCTAAACAAATTATTTATTTATTTATTTATCGCTTTTGGATTACTGCGGGTAAACCCTAACCCTGCACAACCATGTTTCTTGTTACTATGATAGATACTGCTAACTTATATACAGTGCTGGGATAAGAAGGGGAGGGAAGCATGTGAACAGCTGAAAAGTGCCGCGATTTCGTTTTCCGGATTTTCCCTGTCGGCAGCGTTCTACAATACTGTACCGTAGTCTACCGTGTCGGGTCGAGTCGACATCTTTTAGAATATGATAATACCGGTAGTTGATAATTGGGTTCGGATAAAATAGTCCGGAACGTGCGGGTGTGCTCTTGATACGATACGATAAGCTCTCGAATCTGATACAGGTAGTATGTTTAGACTGTTGCTATCAGACTTTTGTGCGATAACTTGAATTGATACGTGTGTATGTATTACAGCCCGGATGTGACCTTCCAATATTAGTATCTTTAGTATATATATACGGTATTATGTGGGCCAAAAGTCACAGTATGATACCGACAAACAGCCGTATATATAATACCGCCCTCTGCTTGTGCAAATCCTTATGGCATGCGGGTCGTCCCCAACTTTGACGCTACGCCTCCTGCGGTCCTCATTCCAGCGACTGGCGTTCGGTGCATACTTGCGTAACGCATCCGTTCACCTGGATTCGCCTGGAGTGTATGATGGAAGCACGCACTCCCGGGGGCACCGGACACGTGTAGGGTGGGTAGGGAATAGGGTTGAGATAATGCACGACGTGAACGGGGCAGGTGCTTGAATGGGGAAATCCCCGAGAAGTGTGTGATAATTCTAACTTGACTTGGAGTGTATTGATATTGTGAGGTGGAGGTTAGCTTCAAGTCAGAGGGATGGGGCCGAACCCAGCAAGAGGACAGCTGCTGAGCTCATGTATCTCGACACTGAGGTGTGAGTTCTGTGACTGACTGATCAACCGTATATTGGACTCAGCTCGCCATACTATACTGCATAGCGAGCACAGAGCGTAGATCTGCACCTCCTGCTCAGCACCGCCGAGTGATTATTTATGAGAAAGCCGCTAAACCGCACCCGTAACGCTCGTCCGACCGCCGCCAAGTATACCTCCATACACCCACTTCCCCAACAAATAAGCACGATAATAGTTCTCTGATTAAACGCCTTTACAATTACCGGTATACTTCCACGAGAACCCCATCCTTCCATCCCATACTCCCCTGGCCCGTCAAGCAACATTCCCCAGCCCACTCTATCCTCCAACTCCGCCACGGTATGTAAAAAAGCACAGCCGCACCGCCATAAATGTATGCACGCTACAATATAAACCGCATCAACATTGAAGAAAGGAAGAAAAAACAAAGCAAGAAATCCCCCTTTCCCTTCTTCCATCTTCTAAGCTCTAAGCAAACGTCATAGTCATCTCCCCCTCCTCACCGAAATCGTCATCGTCGTCCGCCCACACATTTCTTTCGCCGGCAGTAGTAGGCATAGTAACACTGGTCCTGACCTCAGGCCCACAAAAAGTGGAGCTACCCCGGGGTGGCGCTGACGGCAGTGGTGAAGCGTCAAAAGTCATCTGAATCTCACCAGTACGTGGGTTCCCGAATTCATCTTCCGAGTCCGAGATGTAGATGCGGTTCTTTTTATTACCGAGTGATGATGGTGAGGGCTGATGGTACCCATTCTGGAGAGACGGGAGGCTGGCATTGTTCTCGGAGACCGAGGACATACCGTATGACGGTGAGGGGTGGTGGTCGAAGCTCTTGGTGTGACGGAGGTCGGCGTGCATTGGTGAATTCAAGAGCGATGAGTTGGCCCTGAGGGGCGGAAGTGTGGAATTTAGTTCCCTAGGCTGAATTTCGTCTCGGCCTACTCTCGCTAGCTCCGCTCTGATGGCGTCGACATCGAAGATCACATTGTCGTCCTTGGTGCCGGCGTTTGGGTCATTCGGGTCGACCCAGCCTTTTTCCATTCCGGGACTGCCAGCAGGCTTGACTTCATCGTATGTCTCCCAGTCCTTCTTTTTGGCGGCGTCCTTGCCCCTACCAAAGAAAGAGAAGCGAGGCTTTTTTTGATTTTTCTCAATCTCCTTCCGGGCACCCTCGAGCTCCTCAATCAGCTCTCGTTGCCTTTCGCGGTGCCTATCGGGATCCTAAAGTTTCGCGCAAATTAGTAAATCGCGTCTGTCGAGACCGTGGGTGGACTTACCGGATCTTGTATCTCAGTGAACTCATCTGACACAACAATCCACCCCACATGTCTCAAGAGTCTCGGAATTGCCTGCCTATATGCCATGTGCCCATTTACCAATTCCGTGAGGTCCACGTTCTCCACCCCAGCGATATTATCAACGGGCGCCAACCCAGCTACACGGCCAATGCCGCCGCTCGTAGCGCGGAAGAGATACCCCAAAATCCAATCATTTCTGGCGAACCCATTGACGAACCTCCCTGAAACTACGGATAGCGCCTTTCTGTACTCATCCTGCTTCACTACCACTGGTGATCCAAACAGGTAGACATTTTGAACCAGACCGTAGGCGTGGTGCCTTTGTAGTTCCCTCAAACAAGAATAGATCATCCGTGCGCCGAGAGAGTAACCTACGAGTGTTACGGGACGCACACCAAGATTCCGATTAATCAATGAATCGGCGAGAATTAGGCCCGCAGCGTTGGCCCTGTCAAGTGACACGCTCCAGGGGTTGTCAAGTAAATAGGAGAGTTTGGTGAGAACGACAGGCAACTGCAAGGAGGCCATGAGGGCGACCAAGATGGTGCTCCCCAAAACTTGTTGCAGCGACTGGGTCAGGACCTGCGGGATATCAGACGCAGCTCTCTGGATTGTGAAGCCTAGGAACAAACCTCAGTTGCAAGGATATTGATTGTTTGGCCCATGGATCGCAACATCTCCGGTTCCCAGAGGATCGAGAAAATGTCACCCATGATAGGGTCAACGGTTGAGTACGGCAATCTCACGTCGTCTTCGATACCGTTCATCCAGCTATCCCTTCCATTAGTCCTCGTGAGCCTCCACGTTGCTCTCGTTCACAGAGACTCACCCCGAGACCGTGATAATCAAGTTCACTCTCTTCGCATTATGGAGTGGCCTGAACTCAAAGATACCAACGCTTTTGGTTCGGTTGTAACTCGCCTTTGCGCCAATCGCGCTACCACTAGCCACTGCACTGCTTGCGATAAGAGCTGTTCCTCCAGCTCCTGCCAGGAACGCTCCAGTTCCACCGACACCTATCGTCGTGAACCCGGCTGCCAAGCCGGCACCGATTACGGGGGCTAGAAGCCCACCGCTCAATCCAATGACCAGGCCACCGCCGATAGTTGCCAGGCCCATCATCATGAACCTCTTATTCCTTGCTGCCTTCCTACGATTCTCCATGTGCTCTTCCTCGTTCCAATTCTGTTGGGCCGACTCCTGGATTTCTAAGGCATCTGTCACTCGCTTCTCAAATTTATATATATCCAACCAGGGGACTCCCAACATCTCACCAACCCTTTCCAGCAAAACACGGGAACGGGCATCGTATACTGAATCGGCTATAAGGACAAGGAAAAGGTCACAAAGGACCGTCCACCGAATGTCAATATCTAGTGTTTTAGAGTTAGATATCTCAGTCGGATCCTTGACGGCTGAGTGAGTGTCGCCATCATTATCGTCGGCCGCTTTGTATGGCGGAGGGTTGGATAGGGGAGAGGGGTGACTAGGAGGCGCTACGGAAGATCTTAGCGAAGCGGAGGAAGCGATGGGATTCTCGACTCGAGCATTCTCCGTAAGAGTAGGCGTGAGGTCGGCAGGGATAACGCCGTGTTCTGCCAACTGTTCAATCATAATTTGTTCTACACCCAGTCAGCGGCTAAGAACTATTCTGAACCTAGAAATAAAAATAGCAACAAAGGTGATCGGACCAGCAGACGAGATATCCATATGCATGTACAGCCTGACCATCATCTTTTGGCTCCACATCTTCATGTTTTCCCGTGCAAGTTGTAGCTCTTTCTTTGCGGCCCGCCCTTTTCCTTCCAGTTTTCCCTGATCCGTAACCATCTGCTCCATGGCCAACTTACACACACCAACATAGGCGATCCTCTGCCCCTCCGTAAGCAATTCCTTTGTAGCCTGCATCTGGCTCAGCGGGTTCCTTGAAGCTTCGTCATCCTCCGTCTCCCTGAACAAGTAACTCGTATTCTCATCCATAGAAGTAGCGGACCGAGCATCTTCGTCATCGTAGACCCTGGTGTACCCCTTCGACGCACTTTTCTCCCCCTCATCCTCAGAATCCTGAACCTCTTTGGCTATTAACCGCCCCTCATCGTCGTAGAGGTCGTGTGAGGCGAAAGCAGGCATCTCCTGCCAACCATCGTCTTCCTCTTCCGCTCCCCCCCGGTCTTTGCCCTTTTCCTCCTCCCTTCGCACAATTTGCTGGTGTGACCATTCCGATACCGGCCCCCCAGTCCCAACGGTGCTCGAGGGATCAGCGGGGTCCTCCGAAAACATTTTCTTCTCATTCCACTCCCTATCCGCCTGAGGGATATCAGCAGAAGGTCTTGCAACCTGATCCTTGACCACCATCGCTGCCGCCGCCTCGTTTGCCAGCCCTGTCTTACTCGCAGTTTCTTCTGGCACCAATGGAGGGGTTACACCCGTAGCTATATTCCGTGAGGCCGGAGCGCTTGCGGTCGATGACATGGTTGAGTCCGCGTCCGTTGGGACTGCAGATTTCTCCTGCTCTGATCCAGTTGGCTTGACCTCCTCGGCCCGTGGCCCGCCAACCTTCTCCTTCTCCCTCTCCTCCTCTGCCAGCTGAGCAGATGGGGGTGGGGTTGAAATCTTTAGTTTCGCAACCGGCAACCCAAACTCATCGTACTCGGCCTCAGTCCCCATATCCGTCGTCTCTGCGCAATTTTCGGGGAATGCAGGTCGTTGTTTGGCTAGGGGAAGCGTCTTGCAACGGTTGCTTTCTGTATCGGGCCGATGCGGTTGGTGGTTACCTCCGGAAACGGCGACGTTGTGGTGTGGCGTAGGCTGGGGCTAAGGCTGGGGCTGTTAGGAGAGCTAGGAAGGGGGGAAGCAAAGCTTGTCGGTCTGATTATTTGAGTACCGTTCTTTAGCAGTAGCGGTATCACCGGCAATTACTGTACAAGAGCGTCCGTGGAACTGGTCACAAAAGAGAGAGAGAGGATTGCATTTTTGTGAGAAGGGAGGTTCAATCAGGGGCTGGTACTTGCTGTGACAGGCAATGCTAGCAGTTGTCGCAGCTCTGGAATTTCTAAAACCATCATACGGGAGGGGCCGAGCTTGGCGGGCTACCGATACCCTGGGGTGAAAATTCTCGCTGACATCTCTTTACACCGCTATTATCCAGAGCCTCAACCACCACAAAAAAGTGGTCATGATCACCAAGAAGGGATACTTTTCCCCCTTCTCCCCGAAAGGCTTAGCTCGTTGCTATCGTGGGAGCTCCTGACACCTCGAAAGCTGATATTAACCCACACTACCGGTATTACTGGGGAATGGAAGGAGGGTTTGACGAATGGTGAAGCTCAATTGATATCGGAGAAGCAGAGTGACGTGAGAGGAATCGTGATTCCGGAGGTAACAGGTCCTGGAAAACACTTGGGCCCTCTTTTCTTTTTCTCCTCTTGTTTTATCCTACAGTACGCTCTCGACATTGATAATGCTCAGATGCTCGGATCAAGATTTCATGTGATCGAGCTTGCGGTATTTCCAGCCTGTTGTATCCCTCTCAGAGGACCATGGACCATCAATTCGATGCTGTAGGTTAAGGGGATTGATCAAGCAACGCAACGCACTACGGGAAGATACAGTGGAAGTGGTGCGGATAGCTGTATGCAAGCTTGTTACGGAGATGGTTCAAGTACGCTACTCGAGTGCCGGTACTGTGACTTACCAACTGGCAGCCATGGCGCGCCTGAATTTGGTGGACATTTGTCCATCCGGATGGATACCGGATTCCATGGGTTGCAGGTTCCGCACGGTACAAATATTGGGGCAGGAGCCGAGGGAACCCGGCTGAGCAACCCGGGTCATCCGTCGAGACCACAGGACGATCCGTGCAACCTCGACTACGGACAGGTTCTGCCTGGCGGCAAGAGCGTGGCATAAATTTACGGAGCTCAAAAGCAGAATGGGCGGCCAAAAAGAAAGACGAGTGATAGGAAGGGAACGAGTGGAGGAGGGATCGGTTCAATCGCTAGCTTATATTTCCTGGGGTAGACTACATGTGCGTGTTGGTTTGGGAGGCGCGGGTGAAGAAAACATTGTTATCGAAGGGCGTGCCCGAGCGACGGATAACGGGTGGCGATTCGAGGGGTCAAGGATAAAGAGTGTAGGGGATTGAAGTTATTCGACGCCACGACCAGAGATATTTGTACAGTACAGTACTTGTACAGGCAAAAAAAAAAAAGTGTAGCAAGTAGACACAACAGGCGAGCTGCAACTGCCCTGGAACTGTAACAACGTCTACTGTGACGGTAAATCCCCTGAGAAGAGGAGTGCAAGATGGAGCGTAGCAGTATGATGGAGAGAGGTGGAGGAGGAGGAGTGTGCAACTTTCTGCAGGGCGTGCAGTGAAAGATTGCATCAAAGAATAACACTGAGGTTTTGTATTTTGTTTTTTTCCCCCGTGATAGTTCCTATGTTTGCACTTTATTTATTTTTATTTTATTTTTCCTGCTCCTCGCCTGCAAGAGAGGGGGGGTTCCCGGAGGCACACGGTATCTGGCTCGAGTTAAGGGAGGAGTACGGTTTGCGTTGTGCGGTATGGTGCTGCTATGTAATTTAGCTGTGGATTCACGGTGCCCGTACTCGTACACATACCGTAGTTAATGCGTCGGGAACCGAAGCCAAGCGAGAGCGGGAGGAAATGTTCAGGTCCGAGGGGAGGGGGTTCGCATCTCGCCGGACAACTCACAAAGCCTTGACCTTGGGGACGGAGGGGCAGTAACATGATCATGATGCTTGAGTGACTTGCTCGCATATTACTCGTACTGTACTTGTGCAGCCTACCGTGCTCGTACATCGAGAGACTGTGGAGGCTGTTTGCCTCTTGCGAAGGGAAATTAGGGAATCGAGGAAACGATCGGAGGCCGTCCATATCTGCCAAGAATTGCGGATTTATAGCCTCTGCTATTATTATGATTTCCGCACGAAAAAAAAAACCCTCCACTCGCATGCCTTTTTCTCTATCCTTATCCGAACGAAAGCTCCCCACTCGCTCATTTCTCTCCCCTCACCGGAGAGGGGAGAGAGGGAAAGAGCTGTGATACCGACCGCTATCTGAAAGTACCGCTCTCTCGCGCGCTCATCTGCGCACTTTTTTTTTTTGCCTTTGACCTCCTCAACGAATGCGTGATGTGAGTTACACACCCTTAGGTACCCTACTTTCCATACCCTCATGCCTCCCATTTTACCCTTATTCATTCCTTTGCCCATTCACTCTCCTTCCCCACCCCCGAGTCTCAATGGGCGAGTGGCAGATGAATGGGAATGAAAAATGAAAAAATGAAAAAAAAGAGAGAGAGGAAGAAGAGGAGAGAGCAGGTCAACCCTCATAGTACTCGTACCGGTAACCCCATCCACCGATTCGGCTGCTATTGAAGTAGGAAGAAAAAAAGAAAAAAGAAAAAAGGCTCTTCCCCCCCCCATTGATGTCCACCTCCACTGCACCCGAAAAAAAATTCTCTTTTGTCTTATTGTCCTTCGTCAGTTCTACCTGCGTCCAATTGAATGGCCGTCCGCTAACTGCCCACTCTAGAACAATAACGCTCGCCCACGTACACAATAGCACCACTAACTCTGTCCACCCCCCCCCCCCACCCACATGCCCACCGATAATCCTTTTGGACTCGGTCGGTCCAACTACAATGGAGATCACACTCTCCATGCTCCTCTTGCTCAATAGCTGCCGTCACATCCAATGTGCGGCTGACGCCTTATAGGCTCGGGTTTCATCCATACAGTTGGCTGTGATTGTTCCCTCTCTCCCTCTCTCTTTGTTCAATGGGCCTGCACTGTACTCGTACTTATTGATGGGTGGTTCACCCCCCCCTCCCTCAAAGGCCGACCTGCTGTCATCATGCTTTTTGATTATTTCTGCCCGTCACCCCTCTCGCTTCTCCTCCTCTCTCCATTCGTTCGTTACTTCCCTTGATCTCTTCGCCTTCTTTTCTCCCACGAGTTCCTTTCTTTGATATCCCGCTTTCCCCGTTGAGCCTTTCCTTCTGCAACTTCAAGAAAGCCTCTTGCTCTCATCTCGACCTGCACCCCACCAACCCCTCCTCTGGGAGCACATATTAATCGAGAGAGAACCGCCCACTTTATTGCGACGGCCGGATCCTGTCGGAGCCGAATCTTCTTACAATGGCTTCGTCACTGCGTGCAAAGTACAAGCGCCCCTCCCCCCTCAAAATCAAGAAGCGCCTCCCGGAGCCACGTTCATCCATACTTTCCACTCTCCCCGACACCGTCTATCACCCGGAGGACGACGAGATAGATGATTTGGACGACCCCAGCACACCTGAAACACCTAACGATGCCGCTGGTATGTTCAGAGGCTATTCGCCTTCGAGCTCGTCGAGCTCTCTCAGTGCCCGCGAGATCAGCCCTCCTATTACTCCGACGAACGAGGTGTATCATGGAAGGAAAATCAAGAGAAAGGGTTCCAGTGCAAATATGCGTGGGAGCCCTGGTATTAACTACTCAAATAAAGCCCGTCTCAGCAAATATGCTCATCAGGCGCCTACAACTCCGACTACTCCTCTGGTGAGTACTTCTGCACACCATGTCCCTTCACATTGAGGTTTTTATCGTTTTTGTTTTTGTTTTTGTTCTACTCTTTTTTCTTTCGCTTTTCATTTTTCCTGCCGATTTTTATCGAATGGTTCGATTGGATCGATCGTTGAATGCTAATTCGTGGTTATCCGTGACTCAGTCTGGTCTCGATGCTTTTCCCGCGAACATCCATGCTGTTGTTACGCCCGCGATGACACCTGTGAGCAATAATATGGCGGAGTTCGAAACTGTGCCCATCCAATTTGCGCCCTCGCGCCCTTCGACGGCCCCCGAGCCGTATAAAATCATCATTGATGAACGTGTGGCTTCTCCTAAATCTAGCAGTGTTCTGGGGATCGGCATGAAGACTCCTCTGCGCAGACGTGGACATCTTTCTCAACAAACGCTGCCTAAAAAGCCTGCTGAACCAATCCTGGGAGATTGGGACGTCTCCGACGACGAGTTTGAGAGACCTCCACAACAGTTGGAGCCCAGCCCGTGGCCCGCGTTGCAGATTGTCAGAAAATCTTCCGCTCCAGCTATTCTTTCCTGTAAGGGCGTGGAGGAGACCGGCACTCTCGACTCGATATCCGATACCACATCTGAGCGGAACTGCACGTGCGGGGTCCCGCTGCTGAACCTGGATTCGAGTAGTGACAACACATCGGTCCCTTCGATCCATGGGAATATCATTGAGGAGGATGAAGATGAAGATGGAGCGGGCGTGGTGATCGACCAGCCGGCAGAACCGGTTGAAGTACCGGCCGAAGAGGTCATTGAGCAGGTTGTTGAGGTGCAGGATGAAGAGAAGGCAAGGGCCAGGATTCTATCGCAACCAATGTACAGTCAATCCGTTGTCGATGTCATCGGTCCAGCCGGTTCTCCCAAGAAATCGCCCTTTGCTTTTGGTGGCCACCAGGATATAGAACTCCCTCAACGTTCACCCTCCGCTCCGGTAGTAGCAACATCCATGTCAACAGTTTCATTCGATACGTCTGAAGACTTCCCGGTCATGTTCTCTGAGCTGCCGGTTGACGAAACGGAGATTTTTAACATCATCCCGAACGAATATATTATGGCTGACGTTCTTGGCAAGGACCTCGAGGAGCTCAACAACCCTGATTATCATATTCCTCCAGCCTGCGAGGAGTACGTGGTTCATCCCAGCTGGCAGCAATTTGACGAAGACGAGCACAAATTAGCAACTGTCACTCAGAGCAAGACCGGTCTTGATGAGTTGGTGGGAATGATGGATCCTGATTCTCCTATTGCAAAAGGTTTCCGTGAGAGGTATAATAGCACACCTTCAATACCTACAACAGAATTGGTCGTTCCTTCCCCGGCGTCCCTCCGCCCGGGTTCCCGCTGGTCAGACTATTCCGTCGACGAGGACGCCAAGGAGAGCTGGCGCACCTCCGTCGTGAACCGCTTCCATCTTCCCCGCGTGGGGATGGACCTAAAGAGAGCTGTCGCTGCCGCTAAGGGCGGTATAATCAACCGTCGTGCCAAGGCGGCCGCAGAGCCATCCCTAGTAGAGGAAGAAACTATGAGCATCCATGGCGGCAGTCCCTCACCCAGGAACTCCATGGCAACAGATACCGACAGCATCACCGAGACAACGATTACCGCTATTACCGGTCCTCCCCCAAACAACCGAAACTCCACCGCCTCTTCCGGCAGCGGATTAACCGGATTCAAGATGGGACGAATCGGCTCCGGTGGCTCGATCAGGCATGGAAGGGCGGCATCTATTAGGACCGTTGCCACTGGGCGAACGGCGACTATCCGAGGGGCATCCTCTGATGAGGAGCTCTCGGATGACGAACGCAGGGCTAAAGCCGGCTTCAAAGGTGTTTTCGAAAAGTATGTTGTTCGCGATACGAAAAGGCGCAAAGAGGATAAACGGAGGGAAGAATTGAAAAGGACAATCAGAGTTGTCGGTGGTGGGAAGGGCGGCGATTGGATTTGAGACTGATGGATTTGTTTTCCTTTGGCTTTTCTTATTCCCTTATTTATCTGGAGCGTTGGTTACTTGTTATTTTTATTTTTATTTTTTTTTACTTCTCGCAAATTTCGCTCTCGGTTCGTTTCTCATTTGCATTATACACGGTGGGTCCTTAACGACGTCAATGCCATTCACGACTTTTACGAGATCGACGATTTTTTTCGTTTTATCATTCCATTTTTCTCTCACGATGTTTATGCAGGTTACGAGTCTTCTTCTTCTTTTTTTGTCTGGTCTGGTTTGGTATGGTTGTGCTGGGTAGCATAGTTTAGCTTAGTTTAGTATAGTATCGTCATTAGACCTGGAAGGGAGTGGGTGATAGGAGCAGGGGGTGGATTGTTGTTTGAGGAAAAGTTATTGCTATTGTCGTTATTGCTGTTGATTGAGTTAGTTCGGTGGAGAAGACATATAAAAAGAAGCTTGTGTGCATGCATGCGCATATGTTAATGTCATGGGGCCATTATCTGCCGTTCCTATTATTTTCTTTCTCTTCCTTTTGTGTGCGTTTCCACACTCGGTGATTCCGGTTCGAACCTGGATTGAATCTGGGGCTGATGGGTGTGTTTTGATTTGCCCCGTCACAAGGCTGGAGCAATGGGGTTTACAATGGTTATGGTATTGGATGTGGTGGTTACACTGCGGGCTGCGGGCTGCGGTTGGGGAAGAGGGAAGAGGGAAGAGGGGGGAAGGGGAGGGGGGGAAAGGGGTGTGCGCAGATATTTGGCACAATGCTAGCTACTTGCAATAACCTTTTCCGAGTCTAGGATTGTTTACATGGTACGAGTATGGTAGCGTTGTGCCCGTGCCCGTGCTTGTACCCGGCTCTTTGCGGTTCATTGTGAGGAGTGAGATGGATGGAAGTGTAGCCGGAGGCCGAGTACTTGTACGTTACTGTACGAGTACTGTACTGTACTCGCACCGCACCATACAGACGCTACGCATAGAGTACTTTATTGTATGCGTTCTTGATAGACTTTCTGCTCTTGCGGGAAAATGGGGTGTTAATGTACGGTTCTGTACAGTACAGTACAGTACAGCACCTTTGAGCGTACGCACTCGAGCACAGTACTGCAACTGTAGCACCGTATTATTATTTTTTCTTTCTTCCTTCTGACTATTTGGCAACGGTATTATATTGGATGGGGGGGGGTGTGCTGCCAAGTTCTACCATACGGTACCGATAAGTTAGTCGTGTGTAGCACTCGCTGCGGAGCTCAGCCATAATAATAAACTAATGTACGGTAGTCGACAGGTTATGATACCGGATGATAGCGGAGAAATAATGCTTTACGAATTAGTAACGGATGAGTCATATCGAACGAGGGTCGTGAGCATTATACCGGTATCATACTGGTACTTGTACTTGTAGGTAGTTATTTTGGAACTTGGGGTGTCGGAACTGTGAGGCTTTGAAGGACTATTGAACTCACCTCGGGGACGAGGTGGGGTTGGTAGTCAAAGTGGGGTTAAGTTATGTGCTTTAGTCGCTGCTTGATTCGACTTACCAGTACCGGTATTTCAGTTGAAAATAGGAATAAAAATAAATAAATAAAGGAATAAAAAATAGTGCGAATCTTTGTTCACCATTGTGTGAATACCGATGGTTATCAGCATAAAGCTTTTGTTTATTTATTTATTTATTTGTTCACTGTGACTGATAAGTTAGTGTGCAGTGTTGCAATGTGATAATACTTGTATTATGGTACGGTAGTCCTTTTCACGGAAAGCTCGTACTGTGCTCGAGTAGACTATGATGTGAGTCGGGGTATGATATGATAATATCTCTTGTTTCTCTCCCAAAGTTTATTGATGGATTATTGTTGTTATTATTATTAGAAACAAACTCCATATGGTTCTGGGAACATACGAATTTTGATTTGTGGGATTTTCCGGATGTGAAGAGTTGCTTACATTCCTGGTGTAAATGTGAACGTATGATTGATTGATTGATTGATACTCATGAACTTTTTTTGGTATCGTACCGGGTGCGATGGGAACGGTTTAGTTGTAGGTCTGTTCCTACCGTGCTGTAACTTATAATATGAGGGTCTTGTGGATGGATGAGAGCGTACTCGTATTGTGCTGGTACGGTGCCGTGCCAATGAAGGATCCGGGATTGGGGGGGGAAAGGTATTATACCGGTACTCGTACTGTATGGGTGGATGTATGATAAGTGAGTCATAGGGACATTGTGCAAAAAGGGGGTTTATGTTCTCGTGGTTTCTATGGAGTGGTAAGATAAGGGATTTGAAGTCGTTCCATACTGCTGTGATGCTCGGCTCGGACACCGGTAGGGAAAGGCTGTGAGATCGAGGAGGGGATGAGGTTGAAGCTCCTTTTTTGTGCTTATACTGTACTGATAGGATGAGGTTTGAAATTTTCATAGCGACTCAAATATAGCTTCCTTAAGCACGATGGTCTCCTAGCAGAAGCTGACACTGGGTTTGGTCTTTTGACTGGAGGAAAAAAGAAAAAAGGAAATGGAGAGAAAGAAAAAGAAAAGGCACTCGGTACGATCATTGTATGGTACTCGAGCGAGTAATCACAACCTTAAAGGTATTTCTAAGCTGGAACCTAATGCCGACTTATTGATGAGCCACGGGCTGATCTATCAAAGCCCCCTTTGTCCGTCTGCCCGTCTTGAAGTTTTTTTTCTTTTCATTTTTTTACCCCACTAAACGTACCGTACGCTACTGCGAATGCCCTTGGGATCCACTGCCGGTATCCCCCCTAGCTCCCCGGGAAGGATTAGTGTTTTCCTGATAGCATAAGATCGGCCTACTGGATGTGTTGGATCTCGTTAACTGGTATTCGCAATTCTGCTAACCTGCCAAGCTAAGCCTATCGTGGGAAGACGGATTGCCCGAGACAATGGATAGCAAGAGTTTTTATGGTAGGGCTTCCCCTCCCTCACTCTCTTAGGGTGGCCTCTCGGTACGCACCGAAGCCGATACCTTCCCCCCCGACGGACGGTCTTAGACACAAGCATTGCCACCGCCGCTGCAGTTTTGGGTGGGGAAGAGGGGCGGAGGGGGAGAAGGGAAGGGGAGAAAAGTGGGAAGGGAAAGACATCCCCAGGAGGAACCGCCAACAATATGCGCCATGTTACTCGTAGGTCCGTTGGATACGGTACGGAAGTCGGTCGTGCTGAAGCGCGCTGAATGAGTGGCTGCCTAGGGGCGGAGGGGGCTTTGAAACCCTATGATACTGCCCCGATTACCTCGAGTGGTTGTAAAAATCATATCATAGCTTGTGCGTGTAGACTGTGGATGTACTGTACGGTATGCGTGTTTAACTCGGGATTGGGTGAGTTGTGGAGGGAGATGAATAAATAAATTCGAATCGAGGTTTGTGTTATCACTATCTTAGGTTTTCTTTTTCCTTCTTCGATGGGTTGGGGGTCCCAGCTTAGCTTGGCTGGGAGAAAAAGGGAGAAAAGTGTCGGGTCTTTTTATCAGATCGAAAGGATTAGAAGGTCCAAGGAGGGGACTATTTTTACTTGATGAGGCTGATGGAAGAGCAACGAAATGGGCGGTGGTCTTTGGAAGCCGATGGAACGTCTTGGGGGAGAAGCTAGACTACTCTAGGCTTGTCCCGGCTCTTGCTCCACCAAACCCTTTCCCCCAAAGGCCTCAGGAGCCCTTCTCTCCATTTTTTTCTCTCTCTCTGGTCTTGTCCCTTTTTCTTTCCCTTTCTTCTATTGCCATCTGGTTCCTTCCTGCGGGTCCTTTTTTATCCTCGAAATCGAAGAAGCGAAGAACGCACTCTTCAAAAGAACGAGAGCGAGAACAAGTGAGAGAAAGAAACTTCTTGTTGTCCCCTCCTCCCTTCCCCACCACGAAAAAATACGACTGGGAAGAAGTCAACAGTTCTCCTTTTATCAAACGTCCGAATATCCCCTCTGGACAGCCCGCTGTAGCCTCGTCGGGCCTTTCTTTCGATCGAGTTCCCGTTGCTCTTATAGTTTCTTTTCGAAGCAATCGGTGGTTTCTTCGACCCCTCCCCCGCCGTTTCTACAGAGTCTTGTTTCCTTGCCCTCCGACCCAACAACAAAACAACCACCTTTTTAGTTTTAGCCTTTTTCTTCTCTCTCTCTCCCCCCCCCCCCCCCTCCATTAACAGATACAGGCGGTTGATACATTGATCGCTATTCTTCACACTTCCTCTTGGTACTCCTAAAAACTCAGCCAACACAAAATGTCGCAGAAGGCGGAAAAGAACCGACTGTACAGGATCCTCGAGATCGCTCCCGATGCCTCCGAAGCCGAGATCAAGAAAGCTTATCGCAAGCTTGCTATGGTGCGTTGAATATTTTATTCCCTTTGTTTCTTTCTTTTCTTCTCATTTGCCATTTACCCCTGTCCTTTTTTATCCTCTCCCATCGATCGCCCTGCTGCAGTCTAACTCGGCTCCCTGCTTGGTCATTATTACTGGTGTTCGGCGCGTTCGTGTTTTATCTTCCCTTTTTTTCTCTTCCCATAAACTTATCCATTAAATTTTTTCTCTCTTTCGCTTCCTGATCGACCGCTGACAAAATATTGCAGAAATATCATCCAGGTATTGCTCTTCCAAGGATTAATAGAAATTATGCATTTTGTGAGGAAATGATAGGAATCTAAACTTTTCCCCCGACCACAGATAAGAATGCGCATAACCCCGACGCTTCAGATAAGTTCAAGGAGATTGGCCATGCGTGAGCTTTCCAATTGCTGTACAGTTGCTTTTTTTTTAAAAAAAACACCTGTACTAATTTCATATTAGATATGAAATTTTATCCGATCCTCAGAAGCGAAACATATATGACCAGTATGGCGAGGAAGGCCTTTCTGGAGAAGGCGGAATGGGTGGTGGAATGTCTGCGGAAGATCTGTTCTCCCAGTTCTTCGGTGGTGGAGGTATGGGTGGCATGGGCGGCATGTTTGGCGGTGGAATGCAGCAACAAGGTCCTAAGAGGGTGTGTATCCTTATGGCGGTTATGTAGTTTCTGAGTATGCTAACGGGCGGGTGCGTTACAGAGTCGGGATATCGTCCATGTTCACAAAGTTGCACTAGAGGATCTTTACAAGGGTAAGGTTTCCAAGCTTGCCCTGCAAAAGAGTGTCCTTTGTTCCAAGTGCGATGGTCGCGGTGGAAAGGAGGGCTCCGTCAAGAAGTGTACCGGTTGCGATGGCTTGGGTATGAAGACCATGATGCGCCAGATGGGCCCTATGATCCAACGTTTCCAGACTGTCTGCTCCGACTGCAATGGTGAGGGAGAGATGATCAAGGACAAGGATAGGTGTAAGAACTGTCACGGAAAGAAGACCATCACAGAGCGGAAGGTTCTGCATGTCCATGTCGATAAGGGTATGCAGGATGGTCAGAAGGTCACTTTTAAGGGAGAAGGCGACCAGGGTCCGGATATCACCCCTGGAGACGTAATCTTTGTTATTGAACAGAAGCCTCATGCTCGGTTCCAGCGAAAAGGGGACGACCTGTACTATCAAGCTGAGATCGACCTTCTTACCGCACTGGCTGGTGGAACCATTGCAGTTGAGCATCTTGATGAGCGTTGGTTGACGGTAGCTATCAACCCCGGCGAAGTAATTAGCCCTGGTAAGTAATCCCAACTGACCCTCGATGTATACATTTCGATACTTATGATTCTGCACAGGCGTTATCAAGGTTGTTCGCGGGCAAGGTATGCCGTCTTATCGCCACCATGACCACGGCAATTTATACATCCAATTCGATGTCAAGTTCCCACCCGATCATTTCAACGAGCCGGAGAGGATTGCTATGCTCGAAACTATCCTTCCTCCAAGGAATATTCCTGAGATCCCGGTCGATGCTATGGTTGACGATGTGATCCTAGAGGAGGTCGATCAGAGCCAGCAAGCTCGCGTCAATGCCAATGCGATGGAAGACGATGAAGACCCGCACCAGGGCGCTGAGAGAGTACAGTGCGCGAGTCAGTAAAAGCAATCAGGATTTCTTTTAACGCAGTGAAATGATAAAATAGGCATTGGGGGGGGGGGTGCTGTTTTTCTGAATGGCGATGTAAGGGTGGTGGGGCGCGGTGCGTGGCTCGGTTCTTGAACGGAGAAAGCAAAGGGTATGGAAATGGCGTTTTTAACATGGCTTTCCTAGATGGATGTTTTTCTGTCAACCATTATGGAAGGATCCGTTAATAGTTAGGGGTGTGTGCTGTTTTCATATCAATGGCTTCTTCTCAATTCTTTTCCTCTGTTTTTTTCGTCTTTTTACAGGAAATAAATGGTTGGCGAGGATGGGTTCAGGCTTTGATTTTTTTTTTGCTTTTATGGATACAGTGTTCACCCTGGTTTTTTTTCCCTATCCACTTCTTCTCTTGCCCCTTACCCTCTTCATATTTACTGTTTCTTAGTTTTCTACATTCATGCTATGCCGTATTTCCTAGTCATCCTCCTCCTTATCTTCCGTCCTCACCATCATCTCTAGTCGGTTGTTTTTCGGGGAAAGAAAGGGGAAAGTTTTTGACAAGATGCCGATCGCCCTTGAAGCACATTGGCAGCCCTCTCTATGCTTTCCCTTGATTACGGTTTGTCATGCGCCAAAATTTTTATAGTTTCTTCCTTTGTCCCGATAAACTGGTGAAAAGGCATTTTTCTCACCTGTGGGAAAAGATCTGTACGGTATCCTGTATTTTTTTAGACTTTCGAATAGCATGGCTAGCGGAGTGTAACTTTCAAAATATTTGTCTCCCGGTATATTTACACGTGATATCGCGGTTTTAATGCGATTGATTAGATAAGGCGTCCTTAGGAAGCCAAACTCTGACAGTCGATCCTCCAGATTGTTTTGATATCCCCCGCCAACAGTCTCGCCAACAGTCACCAACCATGAGATGCCTAAACTCAATTATTGTAAGGAGGTATCCCACCTCACATTCCTATAGCATGCTCTCCGGAAACTACTATTCTCGCGCTCTCTTGATCTCGCACGGGCCAATAATCCAGAAGCAAACATGCCTTCCAAAAGTTTTTCAGCGAGGTAAAAGCAAGAGCACGAAGAAGATTTCCGAAATCCCCCAGGGACTTCTAGCCCCCCTTCCACCTCTCGAGCCGCCCGCACCGCCCGGTGAGCCAGACTACCCAACGACGATCCAACAAGCCCGCAACAACATGCGTAAATTCCCACATTGTGTGCTGCTAACTCGCGTCGGCGGCTTCTACGAAATGTACTTCGAAGCGGCAGAGGAGTACGGCCCACTGCTGGGACTGAAAGTGGCGCAGAAGAGGACCTCGGCTGGAAGCATTGCTATGGCTGGCTTCCCCTTTACGGCGCTGGATCGCTTCTTAAAGGTGCTTGTCCAGGATCACGGGAAGTTTGTTGCCGTCAGCGAGGAGTACCCGAATCCCGAGAAGGGGGGTTTACTGTTTGATCGGAAGATCACGAGGGTTGTGACGCCCGGGACATTGATCGACGAGAATTTCATGGATCCCGGCGAGAGCCATTACTTGCTGGCTGTTACGACGGGAAGCGGGACGGAGAGTGAGAAGGAGGTCGGGTTGGCGTGGTTGGATTTGTCCACTGGAGATTTTTTCACGCAGGGGACCACGATAGGGGGCGTGCGGGCTGATGTTGCGAGGATTGGGCCCAGAGAGGTGGTACTCCTGGGTTCTGAGTATTCGGGTGCTCGCGAGAGTGGACTGGAGGAAATACTTCGCAGGGAGCAGTACTTTATCACCATTCATTCTGTCGATATGAGGGTTGTGCTGAGGGAGGTTAAGGGTTGGAAGGACATGATTGAGACAAAGATTAATAAGGCTACTGTGAGGGAGATGAGGGGTGTTGAGGTTCAGGCTGGGAATGTACTACTCGATTATACCCAGACGAGGTTGCCGGGGATGGCTATGAGATTGCAGCCGCCGGTTCGAAGGACGATGACGGATGCTATGATCATTGATAGTTCGACCATGAGGGGGTTGGAGATTACACAAACGTCGAGAGAACGTTCACGCAGGGGAGCCTTGTTGAATATCATAAAGAAAACCACGACACAATCTGGTTCTAGATTGTTGACTAACTGGATAAGTATATATATTCACCTCCCCCCCCCCCCCTTTTTTTTTCTTTTTCGTATGTGCACCTTGTGCTCCTGATGCTAACCAAATGTGAAAACAAGAATCTCCGATTACCTCTATAACCGCTATAGAGCATAGACTTAACCTTGTAGAAACCTTTAAGAACGATACCTACCTAAAGCAAGACATTGAGAGCCTATTAAAACGCACCCATGACTCCCAACGCCTTCTACAGAGAATGTCTCTGGCTCGCGGGGGTGCGAGAGATCTCGTGGGGCTCGCCCACACGATACAAATCACTCAGAAAATTCTGGAGAGACTAAATTCCGAAGAGCTCACTCACGCCGCAAGCGTAGAACAACTGACGGGAGACGTGGATGTCCCACTGAAATTAGCAAAACGAATCCTAAACTCCATCGACGAGGAAGGCCTTCTTCAACACTTACGACTGAGAGAATCCGAGGAAGAGATGGCGGCAGCATTAGCAGAAGCAGATGAGGCGATCGCCGGGGCAGATTACCTTGACCCTGCAGCAGCCGATGCCACCACCACTACCTCTTCCTCCACATCCAAAAAGACAAGAATAGGGTCAAAAGTGGGTAGAAGAATGCTTTCGGAGAAGGACACGGAAAGGGCAGAAGCGTGGATTATGCAGAAAAGGTTCGGTATCAGCTATCATAGCCCCTGGAGAGCATTCTCATATCATAAAATATACAATTACATTTGGCTTATTCTTTCCCTTGGTACTTATTTTCCCTCGCGTGTCCGTGTAGCGCCTCCGAAACCTTAGAGAGCTTGCATAATAAGCTGGACGATCTCGACCAGAAGAGGGTGGATTTGGAGACTGAATTGACTAAAAGGATTGGTTGTTCATCCATCCCCTTGCCCATCGCCTCTATCACTGTAGTGGGTAGTGTTGCTGATGAGGGCGTGGCTTGAGAAAAAAAACCAGGCGCGCAATCATTGACGTTAAGATGGACACCGAGAGTGGGGCATATATGCCATGTTAAAGGGAGGGATGTGGACCTCGATCATAAAGCTATTGCTGGCGCTACGAGAGTTAGTGCTAGCAAGAGTACTTTGTCCTTGCAGCTTCCTGTCTGTCCATTTCCCCTACAGAATCAATCTTCGCGACTAATCGCGTGATAGGAATGGACCGAGCTGGGAATCCGCATCGATGGGGTAAGGACCCAGATCCGAACGGAGGAGCAGGTTGTCTTGCAGGGTCTGCGCGCGGACGTTATGAAGTCGCTATCAACGCTTCGTACGAACGCATCCGTGTTGGACAGGATTGATATTGCCTGTTCATTTGCTACGTTGGCTAGGGAGCAGAATCATGTTAGGCCGTTGCTGAACCTAGGGTACCCCCCCCCCCCCCCTCCCGCCTACCGGAGATGTGTCGGAGCGGAATTGATTTTCTTTCCCGGCACAGCGTATCCCATAAAATAGTAGGAGGCAGACATTCCACCGTCGAGGCTGGGCTCCAGGGTCAAGGGCGCACATTTACTCCTAACAATTGCTTTGTGGGCGATCGGGAGCGGGTATGGGTTATCACTGGGTATGTTTTAAGCTTACCATAGGCTACGGAGTTACCGGTACCAATGGCAGCGGTAGTGCTAGTGCGAGGCTGACGGCAAATGGTCGGGGAGCAGACCGAATATGGCAGGGAAGAGCACGTTCTTACGTCAGAATGCTTTGATAAGTATCCTAGCCCAAGTGGGGAGCTTTGTACCGGCCGAAGTTGCCGAGATTGGTATGGTGGATCGGATTTTTAGCAGAGTGCTCTTCCCATCGTATAACCCTTTTTCGTATCGATTCTAATTGTGTTTAGGTTGGCTCTGCGGATAACCTTTTTAAAGACCAGTCCACCTTCATGGTTGAAATGCTTGAAACGGCAGAGATTTTGAAATATGCCACTCCAAGATCATTTGTCCTCCCCTCCCTCCCTTCCCCATAGCATGAGCAATCTTTCATGCTAACGAGGCAAAAAAAAAAAAGGTGATAATGGACGAAGTAGGGCGCGGAACAACACCCAAAGACGGACTCGCAGTAGCATACGCTTGCTTACACCATCTCTACCATATAAACCAGTGCAGGGTACTCTTCGCAACTCACTTCCACGACCTTACCAATCTAGCAAAGTCCTTTGAGAGTGTAGGCTGTTATTGCACCGATGTCACGGAGGATGGAGAAGCCTTTGCCTTCGACCATAGGGTTCGCCCCGGGGTGAATAGGAATTCTCACGCGTTGAAGGTTGCTAGACTTGCTGGTTTGTCATACCTCTACCTTTACTATATGCCTCCCAATCTACCGCCAAAGTGGAGTATTCGGTGTTATCGTGTTGTGCCATTTTTACCTTTCATCCCTTCCTTTCATCACTTTTCTGCGGGAGCAGAAATGCATATGCTGACGGGCTGGTGTACTATTAGGGATCCCAGATGGGGTTATTGAGGTTGCGGAGGAGACGCTAAAGCAGTTGGATGCTGGTGGGAGGTAGTCAAGGGCCATTTGTTTGTTCTTTCGTTCCGTTGCCTTGCGGATGATGTCGGCGTTCTCAGCGGATTGCCTTTTGCCTTTTTCGACTGCTTTCCCACGGCGAATTACGGATATGCTAGTTAAAAATACGAGTGGTGGAAGCGGTCAGAAGGATCACTTGCATCCATATACAGTAGCATGTACTCGAGTATTGGCAGCGGTAGTGGTGGCGTGGTTGGTTGGATGACAAGGCACTTGCTTTTGTAACTATAACGGAACAATTTCCTATGATTACCGAGGTGATGCCCATGCGGCAAGGCGACACTTGTGGATACAGGGTCTGCAGGAATTATCCGTAGTCCAACAAAATGCTGTCCCACAATGATCCAAGTCCCCCAATCGCAGTATATATTGAATTCCGTTCTCCCCTTCACGCTCTTCTTTCTTCCTTCTCACCACTCACCTCCTGCTACTCAATTGGCCAAGCTATCACCAAAGGACACGGGAGCCCACTCAATTACTCCTCCTCCAAACATGAAGCTCACCATCTCGTCCGTTCTCATATTCTTGCTCCCTCTAGTCCTAGCTGATTTCAGCCCCGCACCCTCTTGTCCGGTAGCAAATGTGACCACTCCGGAGTTGGACCCCGCCACCCAAGCATATTTCGATTCGGGCCATGGAAATTTCTCGATCTCCGCAGTCCCAATTCCCGTATTGCGCGCCGCATTCGACTCCAGCCAGGGCAACATCTCAAAGCCTTCAATTGAGATCACTACCGAGATCCTCCACCTCCCTATTAGCCCGACCGGGAATGTCACTATTTACCTTTACAAGCCGGAATGTGGTGAAGAGGAGAAGGGGCAAGGCTTGCTGCCGGTCCTCGTTTATTTACATGGTCTGTTCATACTTGCACCGTATCTGGCATTGAGTATCTGAAAATGGGACGGTACTCCTTGTCGGCAGGTGGTTGTGTAACACTTGCAGCATTTTCAGATACTTGTTGCCGGACACAACTGCTAACCCTGGTGCAGTATTAATGGATTGATGAGTGGGAACACTAATTTGAGGACTCGCGCTTTTTAGGCGGTGGCTGGGTCTTCGGAAGTGCGAAGGGCTACGAAAGGCTTGTGTTTGACCTGATCAGTGAAACCGGTGCTGCTGTGTTCTTTGTGGATTACTCGCTAAGTCCCGAGGTGGTGTATCCAGTCCCGATTGAGCAGTCACACGCTGCTGTGCAATGGCTGCTGGAGCATGGTGAAGGGCTCGGTGTTGACCCTACAAGAATGGGCTTTGGTGGGGATAGTGCTGGCGGTATGATATGCTCCCTTATTTCTTGGTCCCTCGCCCCAATCACTCACGAACTAACCGTATAATGAGTATACAGGACAATTGTCAGCAGCAGTCACCCTCCTCAGCATCAAGCGCAAAACCCCCCTTCCGAAATACCAAGTCCTCATCTTCCCAGTTACCGATATCTCTTGTGAGAGTGCGACATACAGGGAGTTTGCTCAGGGCCCCGGTATCCTCCCCCGCGATATCGCTGCGCTGCTCCCGCTGTTCACACCAGATGTGAAGTCAAGGCTCGAGGACCTTGCTAGCCCTGCGCGAGCGAGCGACGACGATCTCTCTAAATTCCCGGAAACCCTCATCATCACTGCAGAGGTGGATCCGCTTAGGCAGGAGGCCGAGGATTTCGGAAGGAGGTTGCAGAGGTTGGGCGTTCGTGCTACCACCGTCAGAGTTATTGGGACCATTCACGGCTTTGTTGTGGTCAACGAACTTGCGGAGAGCCCAGCCGCCAGGACTGCCATTGAGCTTGCAGGGTATAAGTTGAAGAAGGCCTTGTTCTAGGGGGACCCTATGATGGGGAAAAATTTAGTGATTTATTTTTTCTTTCCAAGTTGATCAATTCATATTAGAGCATTATGTTTATCCCGAGGTCCTTCTGGGTTGCCTTGCAGCTGTGAATTAGCGGGCAAATATCATCCCGAGCAGCCAAGCAAGTATCATACACGGGAATCAACGGATCCAAAACGTGCCATGGTGAGCGGCATCTGGTGGATTGAAGACCGCATCTCTATTGAGCTGACTTCAGACAACACGTGAAACCTTCCACCCCCCCATTGTAAATCGTCGAGAAACCACAAGTACCACATTTCTTATTACAGTACAAGTACATCACGACCCCTAAACCAAATTCGTAGAACCATAACTCTCGCGCATATAATTGAATCCCGTGCGTATATACCCGAGTATACTAGTATATAAGGGATCACCCAAATCACAAACGATCACTCGATATTCTTTCCAGTACTATCCGGCGCAAAATGGAGAATTAAAAAAAAAATGACGGCTGCGGGTGGGGGTGGGGATGGGGGTGGGAATGACCGGAAAGTGTGAGTCGAGTATAATATTCAAAGTTTGAACTTTGGCCGGTCCCACTGGAGAAGAGGATATTTCTATCAAATTTTTATGCACCCTCGCGGGACCCCTCGACCGGGATTTCTCTAACGGACGGGGTTCCCTTTCTGTTTTTGTCGAACTGCTGTTGTGCGATTACGCCCTATGGTACTACCATTCCCATAGTATGACACGATGTGATTCAGAACTTGGCCAGAGTGGCCATAACTTAAGGCTCATATCATACTGCTGTCATAGTCAGATTCAGATTCAGTGCAATTCGTTAGTTTTCACTTTTACTTTTACTTTTACTTGTTTTTTTTGTTTTTGCTTTTTTCGCTTTTCTTCCCCCGGGAGGATACGGTAGGCCTTGTGGAGGAATAATTATCATACCGAGTCGTGTCATAATTTCACACACGGCCTTCGGCTTTTGTGCCCAACCTGACGCGGAAGTGACGACACTTTCTTTTCTCCACGCTCTCGAAAGGGTTCTCGAGAATTGAGGGCGAGTTATTGCCCCCCTCTCTCTCTTTTGCCTCACCCCTTTCTGTCAGGTGTTCTCAGGGCACCTTACTCGCCTTTTTTTTTTCTCTTTCTTCAAGGATTTTATGACTTCGACCGGTTGCGCATAGCTTTTACTAGTAATATGTACGCTATTATACTTAAGGTGACTCAATCAGTGACAATATCTACTATGACAGTAGAGGAAATTCGGGAACTCAATGTTGTGTCACACTCGAAACTAACCGTGCTGACGGTTCCTATTGAGTATCGGTATGCGATTGATTTTTTGGTTATATACTGGATCTGGTTCGGTGGTGTATACGAGTACTTGTACTCTGTCTATTGTCTGCCAATCTGGTTAACGCCTCTTCAGCTACTGACAGGAACTTCCAAAAACTATGATACAGATATTTCGGTAAGGATTGGATAAAGTCTACCCACTATACCGTGAAAAAGAACTCGAATGACTAAAGCTCATGCTATGATAAGACATCTATGATAGTCTAACGCATGAACCAGAGAACTTTCTAGTCAGAAAAATTCTTGACTCCAAAGTGCCAAGGTTGCTTAACAACAACCATCCCATTTCCCCCCCACATTTCCAATTGACGAGAAGCTGTGTATTCAGAAGATGGAGACATTTGTGACACATTAAGATTCGAGTGAGCAAGAGAGATGTGAAGTCTGGGTGGCGAGCAGATGTTGCACTCGAGTAAATACCGTAGTCAATTGAGGTGGACATTGAAACTATGACATGGTTTCGAAAATGGTCACTTTTCGGTGTGTGAGAGGGCAAGTGACGGTGACCTTTGTTTGGAGAATGGAAACAGTGGTGATAATTTGGCCCCCCCCCCCTGAGAATGGGGTTCCGATGGTTGAAGAAAATTTACGAGTTTCGATTTTTGAAAGCCTGGATCTCCAGTATTTGGGTGCTGTTGCGGTTTTTGTCATAATAGGCTGCGGTAAGCTATCCCCTCACAGCAGTACCTTATCAGGTCCTGTATAGCATGGAAGTCTTGATCATGTATTTAAGGGTCTGTTGGATCCGACCATTCCGTTCTGTTCGCCCATACAAATTTCCTAACGGTTCCGTTCGCGAACAGTCATTTTGTATAAGCGGACGGAACAGAAGGGCCGCTTCCAAACAGACCCTAAGCCACTATTCTGATATTGGTATAATAAACAACAATGCCCTGCTCAGCGCCATACCTATTGATTCTCCCACAGCTTGGCACAAATCAAGACTGGGGAGAAGTTTATGGCCAAGGTAGAACAATGTAGCTAGCTCAGTATTGTCAGAGTCACCTTCGGTTGGGTATTGAGGGGAGCGCTCCTCCTTATTGATTGCTATCATGGAGGAGTGTCTGAAATATACAGTCCAGAGGCCTATTGGCCATGTCACCAAAGCAATCCAAGCAATCAGTCGTAATCTAACCTCCGGCCATCTACATGCCCGACAGTATCCAATCTACTCTCTCCTTTTCACTTCCACCCACTCCAGGCCATCCGGCCACCCACTCTGAAGCCTCAAGAAAGTAGCTAGTGCGGCACGTTCATTCGGGGTATGGTCCTCATGGTAAATGGTAATCACACTAGTGTTACCATGTGCATGTTTGGATGCCTCATGATAAACAACAGCGACACAGCGGTCAACATCCTTCCCCACAAGGCGGCGGGTTGCTATTTCCCTAGCCAGAAGATTCCGGAACTCCGTTTTCGTGGCCAGTTCGTTAAGTCCGGCCTGAATACCCCCCCCGCAATGGGATTTAATTTTGCGGAGCAGTCTTGCCTGGTAGGCCGTGCGTTCTATAGCTAAATATTAGCGATAAGTAAAGCGATGGATAGTGCGATGGTTTACCCAAGGCCCCACGGAGGTTGAAATTTCCCTCTAGCTTTATTTTTTCGGTTTTTTCGTACAAAACCAGGCCCTAAATACAATCACGGTTAGAAATTGGACCAAAATCAAAGGTGGGGGCCAAAAAGTAAGTCTGGAAATTTCAGCAGCTTTCTCTTTAATCTCTTCGTTTTTCATCTCACAGCGATGATGAAACCTCGCTTCAAGCTTTTCGGCACGATCCTCATAACATTGAGCCTGGTCCTCATAGCGTTGATACCATTTGGCCTCCTGCTCCTGAAATACCCGACTCGACATCAAAAGATGTGACATGGGAGAGGGCTGACTTGAACCTGCTCCAGCCGGAAGCTGTTGTATGGCAGCAAGCTCATAGGGATTGGGGTTGAGTGCCGGGATCTGGACATCCTGTGGGCCGCTCAGATGCTCAGGTATCGTACCAGGGTTACCCGCTACTGGCAATGCATAAGTGGAAGCCATTGAGGAAGAAGGATTATTTGGGAGTGCTAGTAAGGAGGTGATATGATATTCGGCAATGTCA